TGTCCAACCAGAATAGACTGAATCCCATTGGCAAGAAAATTCAGTAAGAATTTTCTATGACATGAAAGCTGTGTGGTGTATTTTTGACATGGCTCTTTTTAGAATGTGCAAAAAAGGGATTGTTTTATTCGTTTCTATAATTGGTAAAAAAAAAATCTTAATGCAACATTTTTAGTAGATTTTTAGTGTGTTTTAAAATGTGAAGAAAAACATCTTCAAGTTGAATGATACCAATGAAAAGATGAAATGAAATGTAGGAATACACGTTTCAAACTGTCATGTTAGGGTTTCCTTTATTCTAAGAATAAGGAGAATCCATTGTACTTAGCTCATATCTTTGTGAATTATGGTAAATTATTTTAAAAATAATTTGTATCAAACGGTAAGTATGACTCAGACCAGCAGCTCTTAATCACAAGACGAAGCTATTTCACTTGAGTCTAGCCCATTCTTATGTTCAGAGTAAGCATTTAATTTTAGGTTTTATCTTGAAATAGATCAAATTACTAATGCTTGTAATCCACAGCAATATCAAGAAAGCTTTGTCTAATAAATACATAAGGACAGTGTCAGTACAAACATCACAAAATAAATAAATCTACCTTAAACACCAACTCAGTCTGCTTTGGGTTTTAAAAAAAATGATTAGGTACCTTATTAAGACATCATAATTCAGACGATATTAAATTATACATAATCTAAATTCATTTTGTGAAAACTGAAAATGGATTAATCTGCGGGCATATGAATAATAACCTTTAAAAAAAGAGTAATTCTGTATGCAGACAGGAAACCTAAAGGGTGCACCTTGGGACACAGTATAGGAACTGATTTGAATCATTTTTAATGACTCTTAAGGACATATTTACATTTACAGTACCCCTAAACTTCCACCTACAGCCATTAAATGCATGACTGATTTTTCTTGGTTTCTGACCTCTGTGCCTCTTGTTCCCAGTTCTCTAATTTGGGTCAGCAAAGTGGTCCTTGGGCCAAATTCACCTGTTTCCGTTTGGCCCTTGAATTAAGAACAGATTTTACAGTTTTTAAGTAGTTGAAAAACCTGGTATTTACATGTGAAATTATATGAAATTCCATTTTGCGTGTCCATAAATAAAGCTTTATTTTTCAGTCATGATCGTCCATGTACCTGTTGTCAGTGGCTGCTTTTGCACACCAATGGCAGAGCTGAATCCTTACAGCAGAGGCCATATGGACCCAATCCTGAAGTCTTCACTATCTGGCCCCTTACAGACCAAGCTTGTTGACTCTTAAGTCAATTACAGGCCAGGGATGGTTGTTCCTCTGGCTTTTTTGCTTCATTCTTCAGAAAATGAGTTGGCGGCGCTGTGCCATTTGGCTTGTCTTCAGCATGTGCCTCACATAGGTGTGAAGACGGCTGGAGTTCAGAAATCAAGTTCCAGTTTAAACCTAGGGGAAACAAACAGTGTGTATTTCTTTCCACCATATTCATACTTGATAACTTCTTCCCAGAAGATCTTTATCTGTAACACTGTACACATAGGTTTCTTAGTATACTGAACATGAATAAGCAGAAATATTTATAGCCTAGTAAGGTTCAGAGTGATTTGCTAGCAGAAACTCGCAGCTCTGGTGACTAGGGTTGAAGGAGGTTTTTTCTATAACACACAATGTTAAAACATGGTGTTCCTAGGAGATAGAACATAAAAGTTATTTTTGTCCTGGAACATCATGTTCTTCAGGAAAAAAACCCCAACAAATCCTTTTTATTACATTCAAATAAACTTTAAGAAAAGGTGGAATTCCTTCAACTGTGCATCCCTTCAGGTAAGAGTGAGATGTATGTTACTTCTTTAGAAATTCTTAGATTATTGCTGAAGCTTCAGATGTGATTATTTTAGAACAAGTAACATGAAATACTGTCAGTCAGTAGGTGGCACACATGCTGCACTTGTTTTCTTACGAGTACATACAGAAAGAACCTGTTTTAAAAGAAGGGCCCTCTTGGGAGGAGTGCCATCGTAAAGGAACTCATAATGGGGTACAGTTGTAACAATGGCTATTTTAAAAGAAAAGCACCAATGTTTAGCAAATGCTTCTAAAGGTCTGCTTGCTGAGGGAAATGGAATCCAAAGGCAATCATCAAAACTACCATCGTTCTTCCCAGCTCTCCTAAAATATAAGCAATCAGCAATATTCATCATACTATACATGCTACTTTTAATTCACATAGTGGAGTCATGTGCATTTTTATATGCTCAGTGTAGTTTTAGAAGTACATATGGCTGCTTAAATGTAGAGTGGTATGCTTATGATAAATTTGCCTGCCTTAGTGTAGGCATGTGCCACCATGCCTAACTGATGCTAAGTTCTAAGTACGGAAACTAGTGTATGTGTATATATATACATATATACATATATATGTATGTATGTATGTATACATTTAAAAAATGTATATGAGTGTTATGCCTGCAGGTACGTTAAGTCCACCCGTGCCGTGCGATGCCTGTGGAGGACAGAAGAGGTAATGTTTGTATTTTGAAAGAGCCTAGCAAATATAGTCTGGGTACCAATTATTTTAGAAGATCCTTAAGCACAGAAGCATAGAAATGTATCAGACTGGTTACAAATCAGTTTGGCTCTGTCAAGAGGCATCAGTGAATTCTTTAATAGTGAGCTTCAGTGGTCCTGTAGTTTTAAATGAAAAATTCTGGGATGTAATGGTGAAATTTTGTAGTATAAGTATCAATGTCTCCACTATGCTGCTGGTCTCTTGTGACTTTTGAAACCTAAAACCACAACAGAACAGAGGAAAACTGGGCTTTAATAATCCTCTAGGTTTATAAAGGGAAAGGAGCTCAAGAGAGGTAGGACCATAGGAGAACGGTATTATTAAGGGAGAAAGGGGAAAAGTGGGGGCACCTTAATTGGGGAAACCATGATGAAGGGGTTAGACAATATGAGAGATAAATAATGCCTAGCTAGTTTTAAAAACTAGAAGGAACCATATTATTCCAACAACGTACTGACAAATTAAACATACCAGATCAAGAAATATATGTCAAGGTAAGGTTTATCTAAGAACAATTGGTCTTTGCCCAAGATTTATCTACATGACACACAGTAATTAAAAGTACCAGACTGGTGGAACTAACCTTCTTGGATGTTTAACAGACATACTTTGAGGTCTAAAATAATTTGGTCACAGGGACAGAAAGGACACTTTTTGCTCCTTGCCATCCTAGGTCTACTAGTTCCAGAGGACTATAAGCATCTCTCAAAATGTCCTATAATGGTGATGGGTCACCTGTCCTTTTGATCAAGGAGGCCAAAGTGACTCTACCAGATGGACTTGAACCAGTGTCCAGTCTATAAAGAGGAGGGTCAACACAGAGGAATCAAAAAAAAAGCTAGTTCCAGGGGACTATGAGCCTCTCTCAAAATGTCCTGTAACTGTGGTGGGTAACCTGTCCTTTTGATCAAGGAGGCCGAGGAGACCCCACGAGATGGACTTGAACCAGTGTACAGTCTACAAAGAGGAGGGTCAACACAGAGGAATCATTTCCTCCATGCTTCCAAGTGAAGCCAGCCATGGTCGAGCAGGACCTTTGACTTATCTTCACATAGGTGGAACTGGTAAAAGAAAGGAGCCAGGGGCTCCTCCCAAGCCCATGTGACCCCTGAGGAACAGATCCTCAAACAACCTTAAGAGTAAAAATAAATTGGTTTATCTGGGCCAACGATATGGCCTTAAACACCCAAAAGGAAAGTGTAACCAAAGATTAAAGGAGCCAGTGTAATTTTTTAAGAGTCTATATGTATAGCTAAAGGCTACATAACAAGCAACAATGCCAGATAGGAGATACCTTCTTTTGAGTTGTTGTCCAGGATTCCCAGATAGTAACCCAGCAGAGAAATGGGAAATTGAACAGCAGACCCCAATCTTATCTAAAGCAATATTGAGAACCGATTGCTGCTAGATGAGGAACAGCTGACCTTCCTAAAATAAAGACATCTAGATAGGCTGACTAGATTCACCAGACGGACAAGTAGTGGGGAACGGCTGGAGGTGCTGGCAACACAGCAGACGGTAGCAGGGATAACAGAGTATAAAGGCTCTAGTGGGGAGAGGGAGGCTATGGAAGGGTGTTATATGGGAAGTGGGTGTACAGTTGAATAAGATGGTTTGGGATGTTTTGTGTGATATACACACACAAAAAAAATCAACAAATTAAAAAAAATGAACTATATTTGAGGAGGAAGCATAAAATATTACATCATGTTAATAAGTAGAGGTAGGCGGGCGTGGTGGCGCAGGCCTTTAATCCCAGCACTTGGGAGGCAGAGGCAGGCGAATCTCTGTGAGTTGGAAGCCAGCCTGGTCTCCATAGTGAATTCAGGACAGCTGGGGCTAGAGGGAGACCCTGTCTCAAAAAGAAAGAAAAAAAACAAACTAGAGATGATAATAATTACCATTGAAATCTACCTGATGACTTTATAGACATACACAGGTGCCAAGGATCTGAGTGCAACTGATTATGACTAGTAATAATCAGATACAGATTAGAGATGCATGTGCCAACATCTCAGTGTTATTAGCAAAAACAATGAGTCTTTCTGTAAGAAACAGTATATTTTAAAATGAAATGGAGATATTTTTTAACGGTTAAAATCTCAGAGGCTGGAGAGTTGGCTCAACAGTTAAAAACACTGACTGTTCTTTCAGAAGACCCGGGTTCAAATCCCAGTACCCACATGACAGCTAACAACTGTCCGTAACTCCTGTTCCAGGGGATTCGATAGCCTCTTCTGTCCTCTGGGCATTTCACGACACAGGTGCACTTACTTACATGCAGGCAATACACGCATACACATAAAATAAAAAAATAAAATATTAAAAAATAAAACCTCATTCAATTTTATGTCTTATGGGGCTTATACTGAGTTCAATATTGTATAACTGTATTACAACAGCGAACCTAAAATTTTATAGCCACTTCTGAAAGAGATGTATCTTTGCTCTGGAAACTGTTATTGAGGCTGTTAAAGCTGTAATGAAATGCTTCTAAAAAAAATGCAGTAAGAAAATGAAAATGTATTTTTAAAAAAGAAAAACAAATAATCCTTTAGGTTTATGAAACTTAAGTGCAGTTGGGTAAGGTACCATAAGTTATGTATGATCTTCAGAGCCCTTAGGAACCTGAGACAGGAGGACCACTTGACGCCAGGAGTTCAAGGTCAGCCTAGGCAACATAGCCACAAACAGACAGACACACCCCCAAACAGTAAAATAAGTGAGAAAAGGAACTTAGGCTTGATTCCCCTACATGCTTTCTATTCTGTATAATCTATCTGCTTTAAGGTAGAATGAAATCGACTTTATGTGAATACCAAGCTAGCTGCTGACACCAGTGCATTTTCAGATGGAGGCTTTTCAGTTATTTTACTTTTGTGGTTTTGCTTTGTTTTTTGAGACAGGGTCTCACTATGTTTCCTAAGTTGGTTTCTTATATGTAGGCCAGGCTGACCTTGATTTTATGATCCTCCTATCTCAGCTTTCTAAATGCTGGGATTACAGTCGTGTGCTGTCATGCCTGGCACATTTTATTTATTTATTTTTAATCAAGGCAGAAGGAGGTGAGGTCATTGAGTCCAAGTGAAACATAAATTAGTCCATAATACTAGGCATCCAAAGGAATAAAAGATGAATGAGCCATAGAACCCTCAAAGAATGATCATGTGAGTTATTAGTAATTAAGACAGCCCTGTGAGTGAGGACACTCTCTGACACTTGGGGCAAGTTGGCTGCCCTTCGGGGCTTTTGTTTAGTTACTTACAAAATGAAGTCTTAAAAAAACATGCATTTGTGTGCATATCACAGTATGCACCTGGAGGTCAAAGGATAACTTGCAGGAATCAGTTCTTTCTATCTACCATGTTGATTCGAGGGATCAAACTCGGGTCATCAGGATTGTCAGCAAGCATTACCCAGTGAGCCATCTAGCCCAGGAGGTCTAAAATTTTAAGAGCTTACATATAACCTCAGAGTCCTTGTCTTATTTTAAGGTACCATTTCCATCTGTCTTCAGGGGACATCCTCAGAAAAGACAGGGCATCATACTGTATTACAGATTACTTTCAGTTGAGTAGTGTTTCAAAATGTTACAGTAACTTCATATACCTGGGTCAAACATGCTGCCAGTGGTCACTGTCGGTAATCCATTGTGTCACTGGAGGACAGGGCACCCATAGGTTTCTCCTCCTTGCTTTGGACACTTTCTGAGGCCACAAGCTGAGGTGGTATGAGTCCTCGGGACTGCTTAGTTGACTTGGTGAGCTTCTTGAGTTCACTTGCAAAAGAGATACCCCTTCTTTTATCTTCTCGGGATGCCTGCACAGAAAAAAAGAGCCTTCCTGTGAGGTAAAGATAAACGCAGGCTCCTGAGTCCCATGGCACTCTGTCAGGGAGTCATTTATACTTCTATTCTCAGGGTCTCTTACACAGGGGAGTGTGCTGTTTTGTTTTTTTTTCCCTACAGAGTGGAAACAAAACTAAATAATCTCTTCCAGCAATTCTTGAACTCAGGAACTTTCTCCTAGATAGCACTAGCTCCTGAACCTAACTATGATGTGACTGAATATCAAAGGATCGATAAAGAGAATGAAGTAACTTTAACCTTTACCTGCACCTGCTCCTTTAGCTTGAGGATGAATTTTCCTGCACCTTTCCACTTGCTCTGGGCTTGAAACACACACTCTTGGTCCAGAAGGATCCTCTGTGAGGACTTTGGGTTAGAAGACTTCTTGTTGGGCGCATCTTTCATCACCTCTTCCAAAAGTACATAGTCCCCTGGGTTGGGGTTGCTCAGGATGCTGTAGGAATATTTGGCTTTGCATAAGGTCTGAAAGATAAGCGATGATCAGTTGAATCAAGTATCTCTAACATTTGTATTCATCCTTAGTGAAAGTTTAAGGTGGAAAAGTGGCTTAGATTTATAAAGTGGATCTTCCAGGTCAGATGATCCAACCTCTCATTGTACATTTGTTTATTGTGGCTTATAACACTTTTGGGGGGCAGATTCCAGTGTAAGCACAGCTAATGCATAACAGAATAAAGTTGAGGTCTAAATTCTCTGCACACACCAAAGCTCATAGACAGGAAGGTTATGCAGCCAGTGAGAAAGACTCCTGTCCTCAAGGGCCTCTCTGTGCCATGGGGCTGCCTCATTCTCACACTCTTGTTACTGAAGGAATTTTAGAAGTCACATGGTCTCCCTTTAATTTAGTAGAAGAGTATCTTCCGTTTTTGCATTTATTCATTATGTTTAGCGAGTCAAAGAGAATCTGGACTTCAAAGTCAATTAAGGAGACTACTAATATTAACTAAATTATCATACAGTAGGAGGAGCATATGGCACTGAAGTAGTATTTACCATGTGTCAGGTGTTGTACAAAACACCTGCATATGTTACTGGCTTAATCTTCACAACCACCTTGTGAGGGAAGTACTATTCTACCATCTCCACGTCATCTATCTGAGAATTTACACATAATGGTGCCAGAGCCAACTGGAATGGGCTAGTGAAATCAAACACAGAAGGGCATTTATATAACAGAAATAAATCAGATCCTCCCCAACCCTGACCCTCCCATCCCCCAATCCCCCAGCCTCCAAAGTTTGCACAGTATAACGAAACACAGATCTGAGTGAGGTCTTGCTGAAGATCTCTGAGCGAGTTAGAGGTAGAACTTTGAGTCCTCAGCAATATGATCAAGGGTTGTGCTGTTAACTACTGGGCTGTATCACTTCTCAAATAGGTGTTTAATGAATGCAAACCTTGAGGAGGCTGTGCGGGAAGGGCAGCCTGACTTAGAGTAAGCAAGTTGACTTAGGGTCAGAGTTGGCCTCCTGCTTGTGTTCAGTGGCATTCTTCAGAGATGGGCATTAGGTATTGGCTTGGGCATTTCTGGGACAATTTCTGCAGTGCCACCTCATAAATCCATTATCAGCAGAGTTCTAAACTCATTTTTAGATACTAGCCTAAGTATCTGTTGCAGAAGTAGATATTTCCTATCCTTAAGATGTACATTCTCCCTTCCCAGGTCCTTCCTTGCCCTAGAACTTATTAATAAATTAGTAAATGAGCCACCAAAGCCCACACATTTGGTTTGCCTCAGTAATTTATACCAACAAAAGGGCTGAGGTGAGGAAAGGAGAGATTTCTTTCCTTGTGCTGCTGGTATCAAGCCCAGGGCCCTGTGCATGCCAGGCAAGCAGGCTACCTCTGAGCTGTACCTGTACTCCAAAGTTCTTTACCTGCTGAATGACATCCTGTGCAGTACTGACACGGGGAGCTTTGATAACGGTTCGAGGTTGCTCTGGAGAGACATCATGCACTTGGACAAAGAAACTCTCCTCCGAGCTCAAGATTACCTCTTTGTCATCTTGGACAATGCTTTTCTCTTCTAGGGTCTACATTTAAAAAAGAAAATGTCTGAGTAATTGGTAAGAAGACAGAAAACATTTAGGAGAAATTTGAGCTGTATCTGAGTAAGGTGGAACCAGTCTTAGCTTTTTTAAAATTAATATTTTCTTTATTATTTTTGTTTTATGTGTATGAGTGTATTGCCTGCATGTATGTGAGTGCACCCGTGTCGTGCAATGCCGCAGAAGTCAGAAGAGGGCTTCAGATTCCCCTGGAAGGATGGTTTGTAGCCACCATGTGGGTGCTGGGAATTGAATCCAGGTCCTCTGCAAGAGCAGTCAGTGCTCTTAACCGCTGAGCCATCTCTCCAGCCCCAGTCTTAGCTTCTTTTTTAAAAATAAGATTTATAGCCAGGCATGGTGGTGCACACTTTCAATCCCAGCACTTGGAAGGCAGAAGCAGGCAGATCTCTGTGAGTTCAGGGCCAGCCTAGTCTACATAGTGAGTTCCAGGCCAGCTGGGGCTACAGGGAGACCCTGTCAAAAAAGACAAAAAAAAATTTATCTATTTAATGTATGTTTTGCCTGCATGTATCTGCACTGTGTGTGCAGTGCCCTCAGAGGCCAGGAGGGGGTGTCTGTTCCCCTGGTTCTGGAGTTATAAATGTTGCCATGTGGGTGTTGGGACACAAACCCAAGTCTTCTGCAACAGAAGCCAGTGCTCTTAACCACTGAACTATCTCTAGTCCCCATTTGTATCATTTTATTAAAAATTTCCAAATAGAAGTAAAGAAAATCCTTTACTTATTTTCACATTTTCTTTTTTCTCACCTCATTATTAGGAACAAATAAATGAGCAAACAAACCTGTAAACAAAATCTCAATGTTGTTAGGTTATATACCCTTCTATAATCTGCCGTGGATACACAAAGGTATTTTTGTCTACGTGAATAAATACAACAAAATCCTGGAACTATGTGAATATAGATAAAATTTTTTACATGGCTTGGAGAGACAAAGGAAGTAAACAGCAGGTGTGAAGACTTCGGTCAGAAAACTGTCCTATTCCTAACATTCTCCTAAGGTGATCCCCACAGGCCAGGCTACTGAAAGGAAGCTAATCAGAAGGAGTCAAGATTTGCTCTCACTGCCCTCAAAGCTCTAGTTGGTCCCATGACCCAGAATTGTCCCCATTGATGTTAAAGTCAAAATGGAAAACTGCCACTAGGTGGTGCCAAACTGTAACCAAGAACCGAAAGAACAGGATCCTGGAGCCAGCAGCCAGGCCAACCTGTCCAGGCCTTTCAGTAATTCTTCAGGTGTAGCCCTTTAGCCTATACGACTGGAGTTTTGGGCTCTACTCATTCTAATAGTGGAGGCAGAGGAGCAAAGTGATTTTGTCTAATTCTTTTACATAGAATGTGACTGTACCTTCTTACACATACCATTCTTCAACTTGTTTTTTCTCTCTACTTAGAGGACTGCTCATTTCACAGCTGTTCCTGGAGCTCTTGTTGCATAATCGGATGTGGCTGCATTATGTGTCCTTGCAGTCATCACTTTATATTTAACAGTCATAAAATGAGACCAGGGGCTGGAGAGATGCTCAGTGTTTAAGAGCACTGGCTGCTGTTGCAAAAGACCTGGTTTTGTATCCCAGCACCCACATGGAGGCTAACTACCATCTGTAACATCCATCTGTAACTCCAGTTCCAGAGGATCCAGTGCCCTCTTCCGACCTCCAAAGGCACTGCATGACAAGGGTATACTTACATGCATGCAGGTATAACACACATACACATAAATTAAAACAAATTAATTAAGAAGTAAATGAGACCAGTTGGGGGCAATTCACATGATAGAATGTCTAAACTTAGTGCAACCCCCCCCCAACCAGGAAATAAGAAGGGGACACTGAGGAGATAGCTCAGTCATTAAAGTCTGTGTTGCACAAGCATGAGGACCTGAGTTCAATCCCCTGGTAAAAAAAACCAGATGTGGTGGTATACACTTTTGATTCCAGCATTGAGGAGGCAAGACAGGTGAGATGGATCCCTGGGTCTTGCTGGCAGGCCAGAATAGCCTACTTGATGAGTTCCAAGTCCCATGAAACTTTGTCTCAAACAATTAACAAGATGGATGGCTCCTGGCATCTGAGGTTGTTCTCTGGCCTCCAGACACACAAGCACAAATGTCAGGAGCACCTACCCACACATGTGCACCTTTATATACATGAATATGCACACACACAAGAAAAAGGTTGCTTCATAAAATGTCCCAGCAAGAATTCATGGTGTGTGTGTGTGTGTGTGTGTGTGTGTGTTTGCCCATGTGAAGGCCCAAGGTCAACATCAGGTGTCTTCCTTTATTGTGCTCCACATCATTTTTCATGACAGGGTCTCTCACTGAACCTGATGCTTGGTTTTAGCTCTTCCTCTGTCCACCCCTCAACAATGGGTTATAGACACACACCACTGCACCTAGTACTTAGTTCTGGGGAATCTGAACTCAAGTTCTCATGCTTGTATGGCAAGCACTTTCCTACCGAGCCATCTCCTGAGCCTGTATTTTTTGATGATCTATATATATATATTTGGTCTTTTTAAGACAGGGTTTTCCTATAGCCACAGCTGGCCTGTAACTCACTACGTAGACCAGGCTGGCCTCAATCTCGAGATCTACCTGCCTCTGCCTCCTGAGTGCTGGGATTAAAGGTGTGCACCACCACACCCGGATATATATATTCCATGTAGCTGAGGCTAGCTTTGAGTTAGCTATGTAGCCAAGGTTGCCCTTGAACTCCTTATTCTCATGCTTCCACCTCCCAAGTGCTGGGATTACAGGTATGTACAAACATACTTGTATGTGCAGCTGCATCTAGCTATATTTTTTGGTATTTTTAAACAATTATTATTTTTGTGTATGAGTGTATTGCCTGCATGTATGTAAGTGCATCCATGTAATGCAATGCCCATGGAGGTCAGAAGAGGGCATCATATTCCCCTGGAAGTGGAGTTATGGACGGTTGTTAGCTGCCATATGGGTACTGGGATTTGAACCCCAGTAATTGAGCACTCAGTGCTCTTAACCACTGAGCCATTTCTCCAGCCCATTATTTTTTGACTATTTTTAAATTAATTTTTTAAGTTAGTATACAAAGTAATGGGTTTGATTATGGAATAGTGCATTTGATTTGAAAGGACGCCTTAGAACCTTACTTAAAGTCTACTTTAAAAAATTTTATTTATTATTTTTATTTTTTATTTTATGTGTATGAGTGTATTGACTGCATGTATGTGAGTGCACCCGTGTTGTGCAATGCTGCGGAGGTCAGAAGAGGGCTTCAGATTCCCCTGGAACTGGAGTTAAAGATGGTTCATAGCTGCCATGTAGGTGCTGGAAATCAAACCTGGGTTCTCCGCAAGAGCAGTCAGTGCTCTTAACCACTGACCCATCTCTCCAGCCCCAAGTCTACTTATTTTTAAGGCGTTTTCAGCCATAGGTAATGAACAGAGGATAGTAGCAGTGGCCCTCATAACATTTTTCTGCATATTGTCTACATGTGCAACATGAGCTTCATGATAATTTGTGTGTGTGTGGGGGTGGGATCAAGTTCAATCACTTTATTATAAATTTTACAGGTTGGGTAGCGAGGTTTACACAAGTTAGGTGACCAATTCAGAATTATTTAATTTCTGGCAGAGTCTGGGTTTATGTGATTTTTCAGGTCTAGGAGCAGTCAGAGGACACATTGACCAGGAAATGTGGTACCTGACAGCTTGGTGGTACCTGACAGCTTGATGGTTCAGAAGACAAGAAGAGTGTAACAGGTAGAGAGGAGAGAGGCAAGATCACCCATGGAAACTGGGGACTGTTAATACATTCTATCGGCAAACTGTTTCTGTAGCTTACTAGCTTCACAGTATAAAATAAATGGAAATATCTGTATCCAAACCTATTGATGCTAGAGCTCTATGAAATTCAATAATGGGGGGACCAGGGTGGAGTAATGGGAGAAGTAGGGTAGAGATTGAAACATTGCACCCTTGTGGGGCCTTGTATATGCTGAGTATTTGTGCTAATGCTAAGCTTTACCCAGAGGATAACATAAATATTTATGAGGTACCACTATGCACCAGATAAGCCTAAATCATTACATATAAGTAATCCTTTGAGATATATTTCAGTTGTTTTTTAAAAAAAAAAATCCACAAAAGCATATGAAAGAACATACCAGAGCCTACTCACCAGAAAAAAACTTGTGAGAATGCCCTTGTAATTTGTTTCCCTTTTCTTCAAAATCCTTCTCTTCTTACAGGTTTTATTAAGCATCTATTCTGGAAGGCTTTATTGCCTGCTGTTATAAACATTTAAACAGCCCCTAGGCATCCATAAGCCCCTGGTTCTTCTACCCACATACTGAAGTCCCATTTGAACCCTAAGCACCTGGCCTGCCCATCTCCTCCCCTGCTCATAGCCCCTTCCCACAGTTCTGGATGTAGATAATCCTGAGCTATCACCGTCCCAACTGGATAGCACAGGATAGCAGAATGGAGAGCAAATCAAATCCATTTAGATGTGTTGGGTTCTTTCTATTCTGACTCCATTATTATTTTTAAGGCTTCTGGATCTATTTCCTTATGCACAAAACTGTATGCATTACATCATGATGTCATTCAAAATAGTGGGTGTCTGAGACCTTTCTAGTTTAAATGGTCATGAAATTGTTTTTACTGAAATCAGGCTATTTTTTTGTATTTAAAAGTTTTTAAATTTAATTTTTGTGTATCTCACACAACATACCAATCAATCTTAATCATAGTTACACCCTCTTTCCCACTGGTACCTCCCATAGCCACCCCCCCACCAATGGAATTCATATACTCTGTCGTTTGTGTTAAGACCTATGTCAAGTTAGTGTCCCCAGACGTTCCTCAGTGCACTGAGGAAGGTTATTTTAAAGCTTGGTTCATCCAATACCGACTCTTCCCCCTTCTGCAGACACAAGGTGAAGAACAAAGTGGCAGGCCTGGGATGCTATCTGTCGCTCTGGCTCCTAGACTCGACTCAGAATAAATGAAAGTTGAAAAGGTGGTCCTCTTACTTGGAAATCTAACCCATATCCATTAATCTCAAGAAAACCAAAACGCAAGGAGGCCTAATTATGGCTGCTCTAGGTAAATTTGACTTACAAAATTATGTGCCTGAGATGATTAAGTTGGAAGTTGTTCTGTATTTACAAAATGTACTTTTTATAAAGGCCTGTTTTATTTTATGAAATCAGGCTATTTTTAAAAACAGGTAGCTAATTAATGAAGTGAGGCGTTTATAAACAGGAAAAATTTCTAGAGAAATTAAAGATGGCTTCAAAAGTCCACCTGAGCCCTCTGATGTTTTCTTATAAAGCACCATGTGAATTGCTTATTCTCTATCTCCACATGACTGATAGAAAGGGTGAGAGAGACGATGATGTTTCTTTGCTTAAAATATGTCCTTTTATGGTTTGAGGCCAGATTAAGAAAAAGGAAGGTGGTGGCGCCGCATCTCTGGGGAGATGCTGAAGTTCTGTCAGCTTGGAGGCCATGCTTACAATAACACAAGAGTGAAAGGGAGGCCTGGTGAGGAAAACTGGCAGATCTTCCCCAGCCTGCATGCACCTTGGTGGACATTTTGTCATCCAAACTCTATTATACGCTATGGGGAGTAGACCAGGTGGCCGGAACAGAACCTGGTGCACATGGGGTGCTTTATAAATATGTGTTTAATCAAATGCTGAACTGATTCAACTGTTCATTACCTGATTTGTCATGAGGCCCAATGGTGTATGTTGGAGCAATGGCTTTATATTCTATTTTTTTAAATGGAAGTAATGGAATGGGGACTTAGATTGTACAGAAGAAAAAGTTCTCTGTAAATAAAGTTGAAAAGGAGCCAACTAAATATGGAAATTGTTTCCTTTCTTTCAAGGTAGAATCACAGCAATATTAACACACATTTTTAGTAACTGTGACCAAGGCTGAGGTATTATTCTTAATTTGTGTGAAACTATGGGATATTTTCAAAGGAACATTGTTGTTAATGATAAGCAAGAACCTTTTATGAGGTGATTATCTCTTCTCTGAAATGTTTGGGACCAGATGTGCTTCAGATTTTGGAATCTTTGTTTAGACTTTACAAGTTGAATAGCCCCAGCAAAGCTGAAGCTTATCAGGCACTAACAAGAAGAGAGTAACAGATCCTATGCTATACAACATGAGTGCTCCCCTTATCTAAGGGTTTGCTTTCTGTGGTCTCACAACTGTGGTCTGGCAATATTAAATGGAAAATGCCACAAATAATTCATAAGTTTTAAACTATATGCATGGAATAATGAAATCTCCTGCTGTCCTATTCCATCCTATTGGGAACTTGAATCATTTCTTTGTCCAGCATATCTGTAGTGAACTATCTGCCCACTAGTCACTTTGATGTCGTGGTGATCAGATCAACCTGTCAAGGTATCACAGTGTTTGTATACTAGGATCAATTCTATCTGAGGCTTCAGGCATTCACTAAGGGGGCCAACCTAGATGAATTCCCCTGTGGATAAGGGATGCTCCTTTAAGAAAACCCTCAGTAAGCTTTTTACACATGCAAATAAAACACTGGACCCACAGCTGAGGATCCTTTAAGTTCCTGCTCTCACTGTTTTACAAAAGATGTTCTTTTAGACTGAATACGCACAGAATAAAACCCCTTATCCACATGTACTTGAAAATAATCTGAACCATGTTGCAATGACAAGTAATTCAGTATTTGAAGGAGCTGGTCATTGACAGGATGGTTGGTGACATACTGAGCTGTCACAACAGAGGCTATGCACAGGATGCACTTACTTCCTGTTGGGGTTTTAAGACAATTCTGCCTACATAGCCTTCCTCTGGAAACCAGCTGCTTAGAATCTGCATGATATCTTCTTCTGGACCCACGGCTCTCTGGAATGGTTGTTTCTTGCAATCATTTTTTTCTTTAGATATAAAATGTTTTTCTTCCATCAGAAAATAGTCCATGGCAATAAGTTTGGTGTCTTGTTCAGTTGCCAGAACCTGAAGAAGAAGCAGAGGCAACATCAGACACGCTGCTGAAGGGCAGAGCAAACAAATGAAAGCTAGTTGGTTTTGTGACATTCTGGCAGGTTTGATGTTCAATTTATAACTGAAACCTACTATGGACTGTTACATCATTCTTTCTGGAAGATGTAAGAATTCTCATATGCCCAAAAAGGATTGTTCATGTTCACTCTGGGCAACAGTACAATTTATTCAAAATCCCCAGACAGAATAACTATTTTTTCCCACTGCTAGAATGAGAGCTCCTATTGAATTAAAACTTTCAGTTTCCATGCCAGGCATGGTGGCATGCACCTTTAATCCCAGCACTCGGGAGACAGAGGCAGGTGGATCTCTGTGAGTTCAAAGCCAGCCTGGTCTATATAGTGAGTTCCAGGACAGCTGGGGCTACAGGGACACCCTGCCTCAAAAAGACATAAACAAAAACAAAAACAAAAACAAAAAAACTTTAGGTTTCCCATTCCATGAACTTAGATCTTTGAAATCTTACACCAAAGGACTGACAGCAAAGAACCCAGTCCAGCATTTACAAACATCATCTCATCTATTTCTCTCATTGGCAGTAATAATCTTCTCATGGGAGGCTCACAGGGATGAATTCTGATCTGGGAATTCTCCTTTCAGTAGACTCCTGACACTGTACCTAAAGGTTTTCTTGCTTTGTTGACTTTGTACAATTAAATGGACTGGGCTCTGCAGTCAGACAGACCTCTGAGGTTTCCTTTTAAGACACATTGTCTTGGGGGCTGGAGAGATGGCTCAATGCAGAGGACCCAAGTTTGATTCCTAGCACCTAGGCGGGGCAGCTCACGCCAGAGGGATCTGATACTAGCCTCTGTGGGTACTTGTACAGGTACACACACACACACACACACACGCACACATACATCATTGTTCGCATGTACACATACACATAACTAAAAATAAATCTTCAAAAAAGGAGACTTACTGTCTTGAGTTGGGGCTACAGCTCAGTGCTAGCACTTGGCTAGCACACAATGCCCTAAAGACTTACTATCTTTGAAATGTTGGGCAAGAGACTTGGTTTTCCCATTTGTAAAATGGGAATGCTCATAGTAATAATTGATTTCCTTTGTGAGGCATTAAGCACAGCATGGGTACATCATGAGAACTCAGTGAATACTGGCCATCATTTGAGTCTTACTGATATATTTCTATTTTATGTGTATGAGTGCTTTGCCTGCATGTATGTATCAGATGTGTGTAATGTCCAGAGAACAAAACAGGACATTGAATACCTTGGAACTGGTTGTGAGCTGCCATCTGGGTGCTGAGAACCAAACTGAGGTCCTCGGTAAGAGCAGTAAGCACTCTTAACCCCTGAGCCATCTTTTGGCCACTTACTGATGCTTTCTTTCTTACTCCTCTTGTACAGATTTCTGATGAAAGTTCAGTCACAGTGAAACTCTCCTTCATTGTCTTCCTGTGAGAAGTAGCTGTGTGATGAGACACAGCTGCTGTCACCTGGACTGGATTAAGCAAACACTCTTCTCCCCAAGTCCTTGCCAACGATGAATGGTCATAGCTGACACTTTCTTACTTAAGAGGGGAAGCTCAATGCAATACACTAAGGATGGCAGGAGCAAAAGGCTCTCAACTCCGCTCCCTTTAGCCCAGCCCTTGGTTCAAAGTATACAGCCTGCTGTTAATTCCATGGAGGCCAAGACAAACAGATTGACTTCAGCACACAACTGCTACTACAAGCACAATTTGGCACCATTAGCTCCACAAGAGAACCAGGATCACTCCTTCTCAGTTGTTCTAGTTTGCTTTCAATTGCTGTGACAAAATAAACAGCCTTATAGTCTATTGAATATAGGGCTGTTTTTCATGAGTGGTCCATGGGAAGTTTTCCCAATTTTATAAAACCTCAGTAGTGATTTGTGATAATAGACACTTAAATTTATGGACTGATGGATTAAAAAAACAAGTAAAAACAAAATACAAAACCCTTAGCAGTATCTTGTTTGATTATCTATAAAAATGTGGCCCCTAAGCAGTTTTCTATGATGATACTTAAGTCAATTTAAAATATTGGGCAAAATGTTAAGCTACCCACAGAGATGTGCCTTCAAACGATAGAGACATTTATTGATACACGTACACTGCTGCTCAATTGCTTTTTTTATTCCCCCCATACATTATATGAACCTGCTACATTTCATCATATACACTAACTTCAGAGGGTGTTCCAGGGTCACTGCCCTTCGTCATTGTGCTCCTTGGTCCACCCTCAAGGCAGAGAAGGATAAAATAGTACATGAGGATACTAGGCCACTGAATTGACATGGCAGAGCTCCAAGTGCATAGAGAAAAGGGATTTCATCTGGGCTTCCCTTGTCCTTTGGAGAGCTACCCTCCTTCTTCAGATGTTGTTCCTGGTTCTTCTCCTTTCACAAGTCCTCCTATAGGTGGTGATCCTGCCTTCAAAAGGTCAGAGCTTATTAGGAGGATCCAGAGCAGAAGTGGCCCGGCATAAAGGGGCTGAGGCTAGCTGTGCTACAGGTTTGGGGTAACAGGCTCTCATTATTTTGTTTTAGGTTTTCCATGTTTCTTGGCACTACCAAAGGGTTAGAACCTCAAAAGCCAAGTCAAGTGCTAAGGGAAGAGAAAAGAAGATTACTTCTCTTACAAAGGAAAGCTTTAAGCTGGAAAGCTAGAGATGTGTTCTTGGACCATGTGGTTCATGTGATGCTTTAGGAATCTGATCCAACAGACAACTCAGCTTGGATGAAAATTCCATTTGACTGGCATCTGCTAAATTAAGAGGAAAAATGAGGCACTGTGTCCAGGCTCTGAACACAAAATGATACATAGTAGGAGGGACATTCACTTCTGGAGCCTGGCAGTTCATGTAACTGAAGAATTGGGACATTCACTTCTGGAGCCTGGCATTTCATGTAGCTGAAGAATTGTTGAGATCCTCTGTGGTTAAGCTGGCTTGTCTAGTGGTACCAAGATTCCTCGTATCATTCTTAGGATAGATGTCAGTATTGAATAATACATTTTCAAACACTCAAAAGATGTATCATAGCCTGGCATGGTGGTACCTGCCTTTAATCCTAACATTCAGGAGGCAGGGACAGATGGATCTCTGTGAGTTCAAAGCCAATCTGGTCTACATAGCGAGTTCCAGGTCAGCTAATGCTATATGGTAAGATCCTGTCTCACAAACAAACAAACAAACAAACAAAGCAGCAATCTCCCCTGCCCCCTGCCCCGAAGGCATATCATAGTTGAGCCTGGTAGTATATATCTATAATCCAAGCTACTGAGGAGGCTAAGTTCAAGGCTTGCCCATGTTACAGAGTGAGTTAAAGGTCAGCCTGGAAAAGCTCTGTTTCAAAATTAAGAAAGGTCTGTGTTTGTAGCTCAGTGGTAGAGCTTAGCATGTGCAAGGGCTTAGGTTCAACCCCCACATTTATTATATGGCAATAAATAGACACATCAGCATGGAGTTTTGCATGTTTATGTGCATTGTATATATGATTACATAGACATGTAAGTCCATACACTTTGAACACTGAATTTCCCTAATCATGGGTTCAGTGGACTTACCTGTTGGAGAAGTTGCTTTGCCTTGGTGCCTCCATTTATAGTGAAAACAGCAAAGGGCTCTGGACCTGGGATCCCGTGCACTGTGACTCTGTGAGTCTGAGAACATTTCCTCTCTTCAGTATTAAACATCTGTTAAGGAAGAATAGCATGGCTTCTCATTCGTTCTGAATAACATGAGAGTTCTAGGGTCTATTCAACACAGAAGTACTAGCATGCTAGAAGCATGTGCAGGGACATGAAAGACAAAAGATGAGGACCCATTTATAGCCTGATGTGTGTTGATGTGGTGGAAGAGACAATGGGGTATCCTTCTCAATAGTCTAATGAAGACATTTAGCCACCCAAGGTATTGATTTATTTTAAATCACAGTGCTTCTTTCCCTCATGACTAGGGATGACTATTATATGAAATGAATGCTAGTTTTCCTGATAGTCTATAATCTATTGGATCTTATTTTTTTCAGGGAGCTTTGCTGGAATAAATAAATAATAAATAAAAAAATAATAAATAAAAGCATGATAGCCAATACTTAAAGTTCCAGATGGGACAGGAGCAAGAACCTGTTTCATAAAGCCAAAACAAACAAAAACAGAATACAGATAAACAAAATGCTCTGAAAGCATCTTATTAATTTTTTTTTTCAACAGGTACCCTTGTAGCTGCATGCCAAGTTTCTGTTCAAAGGTAGACGTCATAACTGACTCAAAAAAGTGTTGCTTTCAGCCTTGGTCATACACTGGAATCCCTGGGGATCTTTAAAAGGTGGATCCGTGGGACCCATGGTTAGAGATTCTGGTTTAAGTGGTAGAGATGGCCAAGGTACAAGAATTGTTTTAAAGCTCTTCGTGTGATGTGTAACCAAGGTTTCTGTAGAGCAATAAAAGGGAAAGGAGGAAGGAAATAGGAGGACCAAGGAAATGGGGTCAGGGACACAGAGAGAAGAAATTGACAGGGGTGAGGGGAAGAAAGGGCCACAGAAGAAAGGAGCACTATGCAGAGGTCATGGCAGAGGTGGAAGAAAATGCTTTTCCAAAGCTCGTGAACATAGAGAGGGAAACTACTTTAAAGAGGACACGTAATAGAATTAACCAGTAGATTAGTAATCCTTGTTTTAAAAAAAAAACCAGGTATTAGAGGGGCAAGCTCTGGTTCAATGGCTCTCAAATTTCACTAGATGTGAGGGTCTTAACCAGTGAGTTAGCGTATATGTAAAGTGCTTTGTAAGCACCACGGTCAGCTACCTAATTAATGACTCATTGGCCACTTTGCTGTACCACAAGAGAGTCCACCTTCAGTGTAGCACTTCTTGCAAATATGCTGAGTGAAATAAGGACAATTACCAAAGAGGCTGGCATTGTACCACCAGAGGAATTTTCTTCCATTCTTCTGCTGTTTATGAATAAACTAGAGATTTCCAAGACTTCGTTGTGGAAGTTTCGCAGCTGAAGATGTCGGTATCCTGGAATGATGCAGAATTGGGAAAAGCTGTTAACCATGCATTACCAAGTTGTGCAAAGATCTCCATGAAAGTCAATATATCCTTAAGATGAGCAGTGGATAGCAACAGGCATGTGGCTAGCAGGTACCTTTCACCAGACGGGAGCTGTCCCCTGAGATGTTACTGGATTGTCAGTGAGTAATTAACATGCCCAGTAGTTTCTAACTTAGATTCAAATGGGAAAATCCTTAAACCCAAATAGCAAACATATGAAGGATACCCTATCACTGGATACCAGGGCATCTACCATTCCTGCTTAACAAGGGTCAAAATTCCATTTTAGAAAAGCTTTAGTGATAAAATATTTAACAACAAGGGATTGGTATATATAAATATAAACTGTAACATTATGCAGCCAGTAAAAATGATAAAGCAGATGTATGATTTTTTAATTTTTACTATTTAATTTTATTTATTATTTTTATTTTATGTGTATGAGTGTATTGCCTGCATGTATGTGAGTGCATCCGTGTTGTGCAATGCCACAGAGGTCAGAAGAGGGCTTCAGATTCTGGGTTCTGGAACTGGAGTTAAGGATGGTTCACAGCTGCCATGTGGGTGCTGGGAATCGTACCCGGGTCCTCTGCAAGAGCAGTCAGTGCTCTTAACTGCTGAGCCATCTCTCCAGCACCAAGCAGATGTATGATTATTAACAGGGAAAGTTGCTCACTCATTAGATATATTAGAAACTGAAAACCAGGAAGTTACAAAATACTAAGATTATAGAAAGTGTATTTGTTAATCGTGTATCTCGGGTGTTGTATGCATGGGCAGACATAAAGCCTGAAAAAGATGTATATCTAAAATGACTAGACTGGAGAAATGGAAAGATGGACACTCTTTAAACAACTGATTTCTTTCTCTGTGCTTTCTCCCATTTCTATATAGCTGTTATGGCCTGAACTGTGAAAACCTGCTTCTCCATTGATATGCTGAGACCCTAGCCCCTGAAGTTAGATGGCGCTTAAGCATGGGCCCAATTCAATGGCTGATATACTTATTAGAAGAGAAAATTGGCCAGGTAGTAGTGCATACCATTAATCCCAGCACTCAGGAGACAGAGGCAGGTGGATCTCTGTGAGAATGAGGCCAGGCTGGTCTACAGAGCCAGTTTCAGGCCAGCTGGGGCTACAGGGCAATGTTGTTTCAAAAAACAAAAACAAAGCAAAACAAAAAACTAGAAGAGGAAATTAAGATAAAGATATCAGACATAGGCACAAACTAAAATCATGTGAGTACACTTTGAGAAAGCCAGGCCTGCTGACACCTTAATTTTGGCCTTCTAGGCTTCGGCGCGATGACATAAATTCTGCTATAGTATCATGTCATGGAAACCATACTAAACACATAGAACCATCAGGAGGTGCTTGCACAGTGGGAAAGAGGAATAGGAAGTGAACAAAAAGCAGGAAAGTGTGACATGTTTGTGAAGCTCGGAGACGGCAGCTTGAGTGGGGCTGTTGGGGGAGCACACATGACGAACTTGGTACTCAGACCAGCAGTCAGCCTCCCTGGGCTCTGCTAGAAAGGAAGCATCTCAGGTCCCAACACTCTAGACCTACTGACTCCGAATCTGTGCGCCATTACCAAGGGCTCCAGAAGAGCCTTACACATGTCAAAATCTGTGAGGTGACACAAGGAGCCTGAGGGTCCTACCAAACTCAACCCACAAGCCAACAGTGCTCGTCTTGGTTCAATCCTCCATCTTCCCCTGCCTGCACTAATACCTTCCTTCCAATACTGGACTTCTGCCAGGCTCCTCCTCCAACTTACTGTCACACTTACTATCACTTACTCACTTACTATCACATCCCAGCTCTCCCTCCTGGCTTTCTTTCCTTACTTCAGCCTCTGTTTGAAAAATGCCCAGGGCACTGTGGATGGCATTTGGGAATTTTATTCTACCTCGTTTTAAAGCTTTGAGTGGTATGATTCTCTGAGCTGTTACTGCCGAACTGTTGTTTTCCACAACTGCAAAACGAAGAAATACAAGATCTTCAAAGTGAACCCGGAACAGAAACTGTTCATTCCACATGGGGTTCAGAGTGTTTCGATGGATGGGCTTCGTCCGGAAATGGCAGCTGTCCAGGGGCATGCCCAGGACGTCAACCTCAATGCATGGACTTCCCGTGCTGTTACTAGGGCACACATTTTGGCCAGAGACAATCTGAAGGGGGAGAAAAAGGACGAGGTCACAGAAGATGAAAGAGAAGTAAAGACGCTGTTGGGCTGCTCAGCTTCTGGCCACAGAGAATGCTGCAGCAGATAAGGTAAGTTATTAATAAAACCCGTAAGCAAAGCTGGGTGAGCTGGTGCCGGCTTTTAATCCCAGCTCTCAGGAGGCAGAGGCAGACAGATCTCTGTGAAATCAAGGCCAGCATGGTCTACACAGAGAGTTCCAGAGTAGCTGGAGCTACAGGGAGATCCTGTCTTGAGAGCAAACAAACACTAAAACCTTAAGTGAAAAACCAATAATTGGCTGGGTGTGGTGGTGCATGCCTTTAATCCCAGCACTTGGGAGGCAGAGGCAGGCAGATCTCTGTGAGTTCAAGGCCAGCCTGGTCTATATAGTGAGTTCCAGAACAGCTCAGGCTACAGGGAGACCCTGTCTCAAAATGACCACAAAAAAACAACCAACAACACCCCCCCCAAAAAAACCCCCAGTAATTGTAATCAGGTAATTACATAACTGGAATTATGTGAAAATCCTATTTGCCAACAGCATTCATTAAACTGTAATCTTTCAATGCTCAAAATTTGAAAACCAAGCACTAACTAAACGACCTTACATTTCTCAGCATTGTCAAGAAAAAAAGAACACCTCATTCCATGCACACACAAGATTGTTACTGCTATTCTGTGCAAAATGTTGCAGGAATATATTTTACAAGTACGAAATCTTGAATAGTTTTGGAGCAAGTTATGGAATATGGTTAAAAGTTAATTCACAGCCTTCTGTAAAAAGATAAAACTATACTGAACCCCTGCTAAAATGGTCAGATACAATAGAGGCTACTGCTCTTCTACTGTAGGGCGAGAGAAAAGCAGTTTGGATGGTGGGAGAATGTGAATGCAGCTATGGCAGGGTTCTAGAGTGTCACAAGCAGGCTTTCTTTTGGAGAGAACGAAACTTAAAATGAGAGAAAATGGCCTTGTTCCTCTCTCTTACTGTCTCCTGCCCTGATTTTTTTCTCTGTTGGCTAAGAGGGAACAAATAAATTAGGAAGTAGAATTGAGTGAGGAGCTAGCAGACCTCTGTTCTTTAGGGGGAATCTGTAGAGTTTCATCAACAAGTTATGTAAGTGATTAAACTAGAAGCAGGAAAGACGCTTCAGTGTATCCATATACTGATGCTAGTTTGTCTGTTCCTGGAGCTTTTTGGAGCTCAAGCTAAGCTGACCGAAGGAGCTCAGCATTTATGGGGGGCACTCAGTTATGATTCTATGGATCCCAAAAGACAGAGTGACTTTCTGGAAAATAAATTTTTGTGGGAATGAAATCTACATGGTTTGTGACAATTTAAGACTTTGCAATGCCTTAACTTAAAAAACGGCTCATATTTCTGAAGGCTTAAATGCCTCATTATGCTGACAATAGGAGGTATACTTACAGTTAAAGAATAGATGGCAGGGTCCATGTTATCTAGGTCTCTTTCCAGTGGAGAAAACTTCTGATACATGGGACAACTTTTATCCCACAGGACTGGGGGCTTTAAAACATAACCACAGCCACCATTTGCCTCAAACATTGTGGCATTTAAATGTAAAGGGAGATCTGCAATAAAACAAAAAACAAAAGCCAAGACTGTTTGTTACTTTATATTTCTTTTTATTTTATTTTATTTTATTTTTTTGAGATAGGGTCTCCCTAATACCACCAGCTGGCCTGGAACTCACTATGTAGACCAAGTTGGCCTCAAACTCACAGAGATCTGCCTGACTCTGCCTCTCCGCTGAGATTAAAGACATGCACTACCATGCCTGACATTATTACTTTAACTGTTAAAACTTACTGTGAAGTTCAAAAGATCTTTGCATCCATTTTTCTGAAGCTCAAGAATGGAGATAATCAGTCATTCACTTCATAGATAGATGAATGCCTACTGTGTGCCAGGCTGTGTTAGGTACCAGGTACAACAGGTAACAAGAGATAGAAATCACTGTCCACATAGACTAGGGAAATGCTTTATGTTCCCACTCCAAATTGGGGGCTGCCTTTTAAAAACTCCTTTTGCAAGTACAACTTTATCATACCCATCAGAAAACTTAACAGAATTTTATGTTGAATTTTGGAACAAAACCATTATTTTGGGAAAGAATCATTACATTTTCATACCCCCAAATACCAAACTATGCAGACAATTTTATGGTCAATTCTTTGCTATTTCAAAGGTAAGATAAAATCTTAACAGTACGAAAGAAGAAGAAGAAGAAGAGAAACAGCATTTCCTTGAGGTCTCTATTTTGATCCATAAATTATTTTTACTTCTTTTTTGTTAAATATGAAAAAAAAATCATCACATATGATTCACATCAGGTCCACAGCCTCCTCGATCATTACTTTAGGAACCCTTACTCCAAGTGAGGCTCCGAGTGTTCTGTGGCCAGATTTTATTTGGCAGGGTTTTTTGATGAACGACTGCACAGTTTCTGGACTCTTCCTCACTCACAGGCTCATCTAATGGCTCAAGTCTGTCTAAAAACTGCCCAAATGAGCAAAAGGTTTATGAGACACACCTGATGAATGTTCCCTCTGGTAGATTCCTTCCCTGTGCCGAATGAACTTTGCTACATGAACCAACTTCAAGGAAAAGCGTGGTGTTTTGGGACAACAAAAACTTGGCCCCTGCTCTTGTGTGTAAATTTTTTCCGTGTATCTGGGCTGGCCAAGAGTATGCACAGGAATTCCTGGAGAAGACATATTGGGCATTTAAAGCTCCCTGTGCCTTTATTTCCGTCTCTGTAGAATTAGTGCTTTGCACCCATTTACATCAGGCCCCTTCCAAAGCCAATGTGACTGGCTTATTGAGGCTGTGTTTTTTCACCTGAAGTGGGAGAAAATTCTCTTCCCTGGCTGTTTTGTGACAGTGAAACACAGGCATGGCTAGAATGGTCAAGAGAGCAGAGCAAACAAACTCACTTGGGGTAGGTAAATATGAAACGGCTATTTACCCTAATCTGAAAGTAGAGCTTCTGTAATCTGAAAATCCAAAATCTATTACAACTTTATGAGCACTGACATGATACCACAAAGGAAAATTCCACGTCTGACTTTCTGATAGACTGCCCCTAAAACAGTATATTCATTCTCTCTCTCTGTCCCCAAAATACTCCCGAAATCTGAACAACTCCAAATCCAAACACTTCTAGTGTCAAGCATTTCAGGCAAAGGCTGGTCAATGAGTATTCTTAGCAATAATAAAAGTGGCTTACAGTTATTTTGATGTCAACCTCATTCAGGTTTGGAGTTGGATTCCATTAGCACTGTGTTTAGCCTAACAGATTTTTTAAACTTTAAAGCACTTTTTCTTTGCTAAGATCCCATTTAGTACCCCAATATGTAAAACAGATTTATGTGGAGCTGCTCAGTTTGAAACAAAGAGGGGTTTCAAATCCTCTGACTGTTCTCTAGGGGTGGTCCCAGCGGTCACCTGCAACTACAGCTTGAGAATCCAGTTGTAACCAAAAGAATGTGCATGACTCAGTACAGTCCCATTTTACCCTTCTGAATGATGCATTTAGTGGTAGAGCAGACCTACCACTACCTTTATGGTCTCCTATTCATTAGAAAACATGGTATTAAGTAGACACCATTCTCATAATACTTGTGCTTATATTTGAGGTCTTGAAAAAAATTAACATTAAAAAGTGCAGCTATAACAAAGCATAATAAATGCTTTTTAGAAAGAGGCTTTTCTTCTGACTGGGGTTGTATGCTTATATATGTATGAGCTCAGTGTAGGAGCAGGGTTCATTCTGTCCCAGATAAAAGAACTCAGACAGACTATTGCCAACAGTAACTAGAAGTCTGTATACCAGCCTCAGGTTTTACAAACTCAAGACTTTATTTTATTGAGTGTGGACCTGTGATTTTTCTAGTTCCAGATTACTTTTGACCTTCTTGGAGTTTACAAGTTAGGAGAAAGTTTGAGAAGAAATGGTCCTATTTCTATACACAACCTCTGAGGCACAAAGGTCCCTTGATCTACACAAAGGCTAGGCAGATGAGCCCTGTAAGCCGAGGAGGCTGGAGAGGCAGCAGGAGGAGTCTTGGAAAATCAAGCACTTCCTAACCTAGGAATTTGTTCCAACAATTAAAAATGATTATCCTGCTATTGAAGCTTATCTGCCTGTTTAGATTTGCAAGTCACAGAGAAGAACCTGGAGGAGCTCTTGTGATCTGAATGTGAAATGTTCTCCATAGGCTCATGTGTTTAAACACCTGCCCCCCTACCTCGGCTTTGGAGCTTTGCTGGAAGAAGTAGGTACAGGGTGGGGGTGGGTGGGGAGGTGGGCCTTGAGGATTTCAGTTTAGCCCCATTTCCTGTTCACTCTCTGCCTCCTGACTGTAGATGTGATGTGACTAGCTGGCCTCCTGCTCCTGCTCCCATGTCTTTCCTGCCGTGATGGAATGCATCCTCTTGAACTGTGAAAATATTTAATTTTAAAAGATTCTCTCTGCCTGTCTAAAAAAGGCAATTATTTGAGACAGGGTCTCCCTGTAGCCCCAGCTGGCCTGGAACTCACTATTTAGACCAGGTTGGCCTTGAACTCAGAGATCTGCCTGCCTCTGCCTCTCGAGTGCTGGGACTAAAGGTGTGTGCCACCCCACCTGGCCAAGTGGCTTCTTACCAGTTATTTTGTCACAGCAATGAAAAAAGTAACTAATATAGATTTGGACCCAAATCAAGACCCGCTGGTTCAGATTACAGTGGAGTTGATCAAGGACAGTCTGCTTCAGGCCAAGGAAGTGTGCATTTACTGATTATTGAGTGTGTGCAAAGTGCTGAGTGACGTTTTAGTCCCAGTTTGCATGTCACTTGTGCCTTATGCAGCAAGGGGTGATGTTTCAGGCTTGCTGAATTGAATTGAGAAGGGTTAGGTGACAACACTCCTTTTGGGTTGGATTCAGAGAAACTTGAAGATGAACCACATGACAGTCATTTGCAACTGCAAGAGATGTGATCTTGGGTTGATTTGGGGAGACAAAAAGGCTGAGGGCTGAGGAGAAGGCAAGCTCTAGTTTAGTTTGTGTTGTGGATGATGGGGTGGTCTCAGGAGTGGCGGCTCTTTGTATCCATGTTAGCTGGGGCGCCCTTTGCCATCAGTGGAGCCAGTGTGTCTGCCCCAGTCTTGGCACTTCAGGAGAAAAGGTACACTCCAAGCCAAGCATACTTACATTTCCTCCAGGAAACCATTCTGTTAGTTATTTCAGTGTACTTAAAATATTTAAGTATCGTAATAACTCAGGATGCCTTGGACATAGCTACAGATAGAGTTAGGGATGTAAACCCATGGGCCACTTGTGAAAGATTGAAAAGAAATGGAAAAGAAAACTTTTACAACTCTGGAAGTCTTTTGCCATTATTTCCATTTGTGAGTCCAAATCATACTGTTTTTATAACTTAGCAAACACACTTAAGGAGAGTTAACATCTGTGCAATGCTTTATATGGGCCAGGAGCTATGTGAGTATGGTATTTCACTGCATTGTTTTATTTAATTTCAGTTGAAAATAGTAAAAATAATAGAGGAAAAATAAAACAAAACATGGCTGATATTGCTGACCCAATGTCTTTAGTGTCAGCTGTAGTAGGTACCATAGACAACAGTGCCAGGTACCAATTTGTCCCAGAGCTGAAGGCTGTGGTCTGCTCTCAGCTGGAGCAGGGCCAAGCTGTGGTTTATGGTTCAGCACAGTCTGTTAGGGTTGGATTAAGTTTATGTGAGATGAGCGACAGGGCTGCTGGCCACTCCGATGTTCAAGACTGGTTTTTGCATGAGCTTCTAGGAAACATTCCTCACTTTCTTTCATCACCAAGTAGAAACAAAATGCCTTATTTCCCAAACTCCCAGGGAACTTGAATTTATTACAAGCCATCTTGCAATCTTGAACAAAGGGACTTTTACACAGTGTTTGAGTACTAGTGCTACTTGTTTTCTTTGAGATAAGCTCGCTATGTGGCTCAGGCTGGCCTTGAACTGGTGATCTTCCTCCAGCCTTCAGAGTGCTGGGACTTCAGGGAGGTGCAGTGATGCCCTGCTTGCTGGACGCTACTTTCTGACTTGCAAGAACAACTGTATACTGAAAAGGGTTAACAAAGTGATGTCAGACAATTCCTGCCCCCAAAGATCTTTAAAATCCAGCTGGATAGAATTCTGTCAAGTGCAGTTTGTGGTTAAAGGTGCCTTTAAGTCCAGCGTGGTGACCACATCTTTAGTCCCAGCACTTGGGAAGCAGAGGCAGGTGGATCTCTCTGAATTCAAGGCCACCCTGGTCTACACAGTGAGTTCAGACTGGCTGGGGCTACAGTGAGACCCTGTGTCAAAAAGACAAAAAAAAAAAAAAAAAAAAAAAATGCAATTTTAGCTACCATATTTAAAAGGCTGTTGGAGGGTTATCATCCACTTTTTCCATGGACCCCCCTTCAAGGCTCTTTTTTATTACCTTAACTCTAAAATACCAGGAGCCCAATTCAGGATCAACTTCCTTCTCTTTTTCATTCACTGTGCTTCCTCTAACCCCCACATACATGTGCCCCAGTCTGGACTCTTTCCTGCTCCTAGAAAACAAGTATTCATGGAACAGCATTTACTGAAACATGAGGTGAGAGAGGTGAAGACGTGGCCCCTTACCATCTGTCTGGTAATTGAGGGCCACGAGCTGTATCCCATGGAGCCAGAACATGAGGGGGTTGGGGTTGGATGAGTCGATCCGGGTGGCGGCAGGGTACGTCCTCAGCAGCTGACTGGCTGTGTGCTGGATCAGTTTTTGAGAATACCTACGACACAGACGTTTGGCGGCATTTTCATTCAGTGATGAGATATGATAGCATTTGGGAGTCCTGATGATAGCGCTGAGGGATGTGGTTGGGTTGAGTGGGGAAGATTCCTCCCAGGTTTGCCGTATTACTTCATAGGAACCTAAACCCCCCCAAAGATTATCCCCAGATTAGTGTCGGAACTTTAAATATTTCAGAAAGATTGTGTCAACAGCATAGCTGATAAAGTCACAACAAGACATCAGAATATATCTTGAATTTTGCTTGTGAATTAGTCTATTTCCTTGAAACACTGCGTTTTTAAATGAGAGTAGCAAGCTGGGGTGTAGCTCAGTGGTTGTTAGAGCACACATTTCAGCATGCACAAGGCTCTGGGTTCAATCCCCAGCACCCAAAATAAATAAATAAAATAAATAAATAAATAAAAAAAATAAAATGAGGATAGTAACACTGATTTAAATTAAAAGCTTGGGAGTTCTTTGCCTCATTACTCTATGTGTTCAGTGGGTATATTTTCACAAATACAAAATCTATGTGCAGGTGTATAAAACCTGCAAAAAACAAAAATAGGAAGCAACCCAAATATTGTGTCAAGGATGAAGTAGTTAAATAAATGACAGTTTATCCACATAAAGGGATATTACACAGGCATGAAAGAGGATAAGAGATAAATGTACAAAACAGCGTGTGAAAATTTATAGCAAGTATTAAAGTTATACAATGTTTGACTACATCACACTTGGATTTTCTTTAAAAGGATTTTATTTTTCTTGAACAAAATCTGATAAACTTCCTAGTAGTCGACTCTGGGAAACAGCACCAGGATACTGAGAGTGGAAAGGAATTTTAATCATTTTATGTATTATTTGAGCTTTTAACTATGAGAATTTATTACTTTTACAATAAAAAGTAATTAGAAATATATGGATAGATGTTCCGGATAGAGTACTGTTCCGGGAACCACAAGAACAGTTTAAGGTGTTTCCAGCTTTTACTTTTGAGGCAAACAATGTTAGCATATCTTCAGTGAAAGGCTATTTTTAGTGAGTTAAAAGAATAAATTAAGAATTTAAAAATATTTATGTCATACTTGGATAGTGCGAACATTTGTGAAAATAAAAATGAATTTAAAAATTCAAGGGAAGTGGTTAGACAGTAAAATATCTGAATCATCTAGCATGAGCATCTAGCAAAGATATTGGAAGAAGGTGACTTTACTTTTTCCAGATGTTTTGTTAAGTGATGCTGTCTCCCCTGGGCTCATTCTGCCAGGATTGTTGCCAAAAATGGACTTCCTGCTTTTCCTTTCTTTTCCTCTGCTAGAGCCAGATGAATTTAGAGTTGACAGGCCTGTTCTCATAAAATGAAAATAAATAAGCCAAAAGCTACAGGCAAAGAAGCTCAACATTTTCCATCCTTGTTAATGTTTATTTTAAAGTCCTACTACTCTCTTGCAACCCAGCACAGACTTACTAGCATTTTTAACATGGCTGAAAACAGTGTTGTAGGCAATTATAGCAAAGTGTATTATTTTACCTCTAGAAAAATACAACAAGCATTACATGATTATAGAATGACAAAATTATAAAATCACATACATACACACACAAAAAGTGAACTATGTTCTGAAATATATTTTTTTTAATTTTTAAAATATTTATTATCCTTATCCTTATGTGTATGAGTGTATTGCCCGCATGCAAGTGTATCCGTGTCGTGCAATGTCGTGGAAGTCAGAAGAGGGCTTCTGATTCTCCTGGAACTGGAGTTAAGGACAGTTCATAGCCGCCATGTGGGTACTGGGAATCGAACCTGGATCCTCTGCGAGAGCAGTCAGTGCTCTTAACCTCTGAGCCATCTCTCCAGCCCCATGTTCTGAAATATTTTTTAAAAATTTGATTTATTTTTAACTTATGTGTATGTTTTTCCTACATGTGTGTAAATACACCCATGTCATGCAATGCTCACAGAGGCTAGAAGACAGCATCAGATTCCATGGAATTGGAGTTATGGATGGTTGTTAGCTGCCATGTGGGTGCTGGGAACTGAACCTGGGCCCTCGGCAAGAGCAGCCAGTGCTCTTAACTACTGGGCCATCTCTCCAGCCTTCTGAAATACTTTTTAAAATTGGTGTGTAAAGAACATGTTACAGTCAATCTTCAACTCGCAGAGGCTAACAACTCAATTTGGGGAGATGAAAGAGTGATCATGAACCTGGGCTTTAAGATGATATTGTCTACATTCAAATCATTCTGGCATGATCCACGCCTAAAGCCCCAGCTTTTCCTTATCTACGAAATGGGTGTGATTATAGGAACTCAGGACTAATCTGAGGATTCAGTGCAAAAGATATGTTGATGAAGTCTTGTGGCTTCTCTTTCTCACAGCAAGTCCAATCACTCCCTGGATCCCTTATGCCAGGCACAGTGCCTGGTGCATAGCAGGAACTAAATACATATTTGCTGAATGAGAAAATGAATGCACACCACACAGACCTGGCCCCAGTGGGAAGAAGAGTGATGTCAAGGCTCCAATGAAACTAGCTAACTCCAAGTCATTCCTATTGTCTATAACTGTTGGTGAGTGACTCCTTAATTGAATGTAGCATTGGAAGATCTTTGAGATAAAAGTGTATCTTGGGGCTACAGGGAGACCCTGTTTCAAAATAGAGAGAGAAAAAAAGTGTATCTTGCAAGAATCATTAAAGACTGGATCGGGATGTGTTCAAAAGCAGAGAGGTAGAATCAGAAAACTGAGGCTCAGAGAGGGGATTTGTGATGACCAGAGTCAGAGACAAGAGTTAAGACTAATCACATCCATTTTTGTCTCCAAAAGCCTAGGTCTTTGACCAATGACCTGGCCAATGACTATCATCAATATTCCTCTTTGCCATATATATATATATATATATTTTTTTGTCAATTCTGGGGATATTGGTTGTAGGAAATGGAGATTCAGGAGGCACACAAGCACATACCTAAAAACACAGGAGGTCCCTATAAGAAGACACCATGATGAGTTGTAGAGTCTCAGATACTTCACAGGGACCCTTGACCTTTGGAATTTGATCAGTGGCAACAGGAAGTAGGTAGGAGGGGTCAAGTTAAACACATTCTTTTTTCTTTTCTGTGGTACTGGGGATGGACTCCAGGGATTTGTATATGCTAAGCAAGTACTCAACCAGTGAGTTGCAGTCTCAGCCTAAGTATACTGTCTGAGCAAAGGCCTGACTGTGAGAATGCTATATGCCTGATGAGCGTGGGAGATGTGGGGAGCTTGCTGGGAAGCATCCAGAAACTAAGAAGGTGGGGAAATATGAGAACAATATCGTGTCTTCCCTCCTTTTATTTTTTATTAGAAGGAGGGAGAAAAAAACGTGGAGATGTCAACTGTAACTGAGAAACAAACCCTATAGCAAATATAAACATAAAAACTCAGCTATTTCCTTGGCCCTAAGAAAGACAGAGGTTGTGGTACAAAGAACACAATCCTAGGAATTCAAACACCTGAGTTCTGGCTCTTGGCCTGACCATATCTAGATTCATGATTGTGGGAAAATCACTTATATGGAGCCCTGGGTTATTCTATAGGTTTTGTTTTTGCTTTGTTTTATTTTAGTGGTACAGGGAATTGAGCCTAGGGTCTTACAAATGCCAGAAGAGTGCTCTATTACTGAGCTATATCCCCATTCCTTTTTTTACTTTTAATTTGAGACAGGGTCATGTTAGGTTACATAGGATAGCCCCTGAAATCGTTCTGTAGGCAAGCCTTGAATTTACAATCCCGCCTTAGCCTCTGAAGGAGGTAGGATTACAAGCCCTGCCATGGGGCCCAGCTTCTGCAGGGGTTTTGAATATGGCTCATGAGACAGGATTTGGGAGGGTGAAAGCTGTGATAAACTGAAATGAAACAATGCAACTTATCAATTAAACTGACCAAACATAAAATCAGTGAGGTAACAAAATAAACATTTTATTACGTTCTTCATGCATAACAAGACTGTTATAATAACAAGAAATGCATAGAAGGTATTATAACAGTGATTCTAATGACACAGTTTAGATATTCTGAGAAAAATAAAATTGGAGACAGACTAGAGAAACTTCAATTGCTAAAAAGGTAGAACATAAAGAATATGTGCTATGTTGGGGCTGAAGAGATGGTTCAGCAGTTAAGAGCACTGGCTGATCTTGCAGAAGGCCCAGGTTTGGTCCCCAGCACCCATGTTGGGCAGCTCACAATTACTTAACTCTAGCTCCAGGGGATCCGATATTCTCTTCTGCTTTCTAGAGACATCTGCACATACCCATGGTAGACACATACAAATACATATAAATAAAAATAAAAAATAAATCTTGACTGGAGAGATGGCTCAGTGGTTATTAGAGCACTGGCTGCTCTTGCAGAGGACCAGGGTTGGATTCCCAGCACCCACGGTAGCTAACAACTGTTTATAGCTCCAGTTCCAGGGGAATCTGATGCCCACTTCTGACCTCAGAGGGCATTGCATGACATGGGTGCACTTGCATACATGCAGGCAATACACTCATATACATAAAATAAAAATAATAAAATATTAACAAATAATATTAGCTGATATTAAAACCTTAGCAATGAGGGCTGGAGGGATGGCTCAGTGGTTAAGAGCACTGACTGTTCCTACAGAGGACCCAGGCTCAATTCCCAGTACCCAAGTGGTGACTAACAACCATCTGTAATTCCTGGAACTCGCTATGTGGACTAGGCTGATCTCAAACTCACAGAGATCTGCCTGCCTCTGCCTCCTGAGTGCTGGGATTAAAGGTGTGCACCACCACACCCAGCTAACATATAATAAATATATGCTATGTAAACGATTTCAAACAATAGACTTGGAATTTTAGAAATAAAACAACCACATGCTTATCCTGTACTTCAGGTCAGAAGTTGAGCCAAATGACCCCATGAGCCTATCACAATTCTTTATTTAGTACAACCTTATCTTTCATATTGAATTCAAATATCTATGAGAATTTGTGCCCCCAATTTATTCAGTTCCTGAGAAAAGCCAAAGCCAGTAGAATGATTGGGCATGTCTAGTGTCACAGGCATGTACAAAAGATGCAGCAATCACAATTTTTAAAATCTTTTTTGAGACAAGGTCTCATTCTATAGTCCAGGCTGGTCTTGAATTCACTGTTAGACCAGGTTGACCTCAAACTTGTGATTTTCTTGGCTCTGCCTCCTGAGTGCTCGGGTTATAGAAGTGTGCCACCATGCCTAAGTGTGATTCTTCAACAGTGTGGCCCTCACACTTGACTGGTGGTGGAGGGTGTGCTAGCCACAATGTTGACAGGTAAACAGTCTTCCTCCATCATCAAACAGTTTCCCTAGGTGTAAGGACAATTACGGCATACTCATGTGACACATGATCACAGCCTGTGAAACTAAACTTTAATGCTACTTTTCTGGAAGTCTTTGAAATCTTTGCGGCTTAGTCACTCACATTCTCTTTAACAGTATTTGCTAGTTAACCAGAGGTAGCGGCTGCCAAGGTTTTACAGTTACTGGGAGGAAACTTAAAACTAAGAAAATGCTATAATTTTTTCTGCTGTTGTATTAAAAAGCCACTATTATCTACTGTTTTTAATACCCAAATAGCCAATATGACACAATATGATAACTCAATACCTCTGCACCATTTGCCAGGCACAGGGTGAGAAGTACTGCTTCCAGGACCTGATTCAGCACATCTCGAACAACACATCTTGAAACGATGAAGGCTGGCATTTTGACTCCCCAGTCCAGGCCAAGTTTACATGCCCTATTTACTGACACTCAGAATGATTCTCCAATCCCAGCTCTTTCTTCTCCTAAGAAATCTTGAGCAAGGGAACAACTTTTTTTTTTTTTAATGAGAAGGTAAATTTTTCTGATTTCTATATCTTTATTTCTGACTTTGTTACCTCCAGGTCTCCATTTATGGGATGCACAATTGGGCTGAGCTCATTAATAGCACATCCTGATGAGAAAGGCAAGGAAGATGCAGTTCGGGGAGGGACTTTGGGGGCAGACAGGTTTCAGAACCAAAGATCTATCATTTACTAACTGAAATGTACACATTTTAAAAATAGTGGCTCATCAACATTAACTTCATTGTAGTTCTAGAAAATGGCCAAATGGGAAAATGTCCTCCCTTCCCACAACCTCCATCCTGTGGTTTTGGCAGAGCCTCAATTCCACACCTCAAGGATAGAGCTATGTGGAACAGGCTGGTTTTGGATGCTTCGAACACTGCAGCCCCCTGGCCACAGGGATTGGTTAAGGTTTGGGAAAAGAACCCAATGAGAAACAATGCAACTTCTCCTGGAAGGCCTGAAGAAATCTTACACTAAGCTGAGTCTCGAAGTCTAGAGTGCTAGTTTACTATGGCTCTCTTCCAAGTCCAAAGGGAATAAGCCAACACTGGCTGAGGAGAAAGCAACAAACAGGGGAGGGCGGGCCTGTGCCCTAGACTGGGCTGTGCCTGAGACGTAAAGTCTTCACAGCACATTTTTCAAAAATATGAGTGCCAAATTTCTCTTTGCTTAATTCAATTTCTGCATTTTTCTTTGCTTTCAAAAATATTTTATTTATTTATTATTATTTTTTAATTTTATGTGCATGTGTGTAAATGCACCCATGTCAAGCAGTGCCCTCAGAGGTCAGAGCATGGCATCTGATCTTCCGGAACTGGAGTTACAAATGGTTGTTAGCTGCCATGTGGGTGCTGGCAGTCAAACCCGGGCCCTCTGCAAGAGCAGTCAGTGCTCTTAACCACCGAGTCATTTCTCCAACCCCCAATTTATGCATTTTTCAAACAAGAATGTTTACTGGTATGCTCTGAAATTTTAGGTAAATTACTTGATATCTCAGATTTTTAAATTTAAAATGAGTACCACCAACTTCAAATTATGAATAGTCAAAGAGATCATTTACATAAACTAGCATAAACTTTGATAATTATTGTTTAATATATTTTAGTTAGATGCTATAAATATTAGTGTTAGTAACTATTATGAAAAAAGTGTGGTCTAGAAAGCAAACATTTAATGAAATATTTCCTCAAGTACATCAAAATAAATTACAATAATAAATATTATGAAGATATTATAACATAATTTCAGTCACAGAATTTAGCTATTTTGGAGTGCTCATAATGCTCTATTAAAACAATGTCTAATCCTTTGATAACTTTGAACGTTACAGACAATACCGACTACTCTTACCGGGGAATTTTACTGCTTGGCAATAGATGACAAGGTCAGAGAGCTCTGGTGCAATCTGTCTGCTTTCCTTTTTATTCTGAGGAAGATAAAACTCTTCTCCCAGCTCCATGTCATACACCTAGCAAGGAATAATGACATTGCTTTACACAGACGGTCTAATCCCTCAGGGTGTCCCCAAAGCCTTTCCCTCTGCGTCTCTGGTATTGTCACCTGCCTCCCCTTGTTCAGTATTTCTCCACACTCATGTCTGAGTCCTTTTGTTGGAAGAAAAGCTATCTGAGGGGAAGGGAGGTTCCTAATTCATCCTTTGTGTCTCTCAGGCCAGAATCCATTGATTTACACACGGAGGAGTCTACGTACATTTATTGAATTAATAGAGGATTAAATATATATGTCTACTTTGACTCAAATTTTTGGCATTTAAAAATTCTGTCCTTCAATGATGGCGCTTCAGCTGTGCTGATTGGCTCAGTGTCTGTATGTTGCAAGCACCTGAGGGTGAGCTTTGGGTGTCTCATGTGTCTTTCTAGTCTCTATGTCATTCCTGTTAACTCTTCACTCAGGCCATCTTTTCTCTTCTTAGTATAAATGCCTTTAAAACCTTTTGCAATTTCCTGAACAACCAAGTAGTCCTCCTGGCCTGAATGCCTGTTTATGTATACCAGGTCAACCTTTTGCAATTTCAGGTGCTCCTGGCCTGAATGCCCATTTCTGTATACCTGGTCAGATCTTCCTTCTCAAACAGCATCTTCCCTGAGAGCTTGTCCTTGATTCTCTGATAACACAGAGCGAGCATTGCTCTTCTTTTATTTATAAGTGTGGTTTATGGGTCTGCCTCTATCACTAACCACCTCTTGTGCCACTCCAGTGCCTGCCACACACACACACCTGCACTAGGTGTACTGGATAGGTGATTTAATGGCAAGAGGCAGATGGGTGTCCCATAACATCACCACATGATCTTTGGTATCTGAGGGAAAGTGAGGAAGAAATGAAGAGAAGGGACAGGAAGTGGACTCCCATCTGAAAGTGACAGAATACTAAGATTCAGGAATCGTAAAATAGGATCCTGCTTCCTACCTTCCCTTTGTTGCAAGAAGAGTTATCTGCTTTCTTTATTCTTTTTGGGATTTCTTCATTATACTCAAACTGAAGCTTGTCAGCACATGATTTGTTTTCAGGTCTGTCTTCTAGAATGTTGTCTGAAAATGAATGATGAGGCTTCATTAAGAAAGAATGAAACATTTCCTGCAAGGGCTGAGTGTACATCACTGTGAGGTTACTCAGATACCCACACGTATCTACAAGACTGTGGCATTGGTTGCACGTTACCAAAATGATGGCTTGGCGCATAATTTAAAACTTGGGTTACGTAGTTAGCTTCCGTTTCAATTTAATCGACCCATTTACCGATAGTTTTGGTGCCATACAGATATAATCTAAATAGAAGGCATATTTCACACAGAGGACTGGAATGGGGCAAACACCGTGGGAGCTATGCTGTGCCCAGAAGTTGATGGTGCACAGATTTGGGCAAGATCTAAGGGTGGCTGAAGTGCTTCTAGATGATAAATATATATTAAAAAATATATTTTAACTAGCCTTACTTTGAAGCGAAGTTACTTGCTTCTTTTACCCCCAGAAATGTCAAAACCAATATTCATCGGAGAAGATTTACTGCTAAAGTTTTCATGTTATTTTTAAGTGATAATCTTAAAAAGAGGAATGTAAAGATTTTTAAGTATGGCAGATAATCTTAGATTTTGCCTTGTTTGTCATCTGTATTCAGAATGAGTGTAAAAGTGTAAAAGGTTTACAAAAACTATACTTTTCTAAAGTGTAAAACAATAAAGCTAGCATCTCATTAGAGATTGACTATCTCATCAGATCACAAATGCTCAGGCCAAAATATCCTTACAGCAAACGAGGGCATGCAGGCTCTAAGAAATCAGTCATTTTACTATATTTATATGCACGGAAGTGTCACAACTTCATGCTAATCAGACCCAAGAAAGTAGAAACGGAATGCAGATATCCATGCAGTTAAAAATACTCAGTTCAAATGATTTTTACCTTCCTGACCCTTAGGAGCAGGGGAAGCAGTAAGGACATCTGCTACAGAGAAACAGAATCAGAAAGAGAACACAGGTAAGGAGAATTAAGACAAAGCCAGACAAATTAAATCAAAGCACGAAGCAAAGAATAGGTTATAACAGCTTAGATTAGGAGACAAATGAAACAAGAAGTGACCCATAGAGTAAATATTTTGACCATCACAAGATACAAGGATTAGCAATAAAACAAATATAGCCAATCCCAGCACTTGGACAATAGAGGCATTGGAAGTTCAAAGTCATCCTCAGCTACATAGAGCATTCAAGACCAGCTTGGACTGCATAAGACACTGTCTCAAAATAAAAAACATTGTTAATGCCAATCATGCCAAAAGTTGCCACATTCATATTAAATGTTTTTAGCGAGAATTGTAACATTTATTATCTAGAGAAATCAATTAATTTGCTAGAATCATGCATTCATTGTCATAAACCATGCCTATATTAAGTTGTAAGTACAAATATATGCTCCAATGTGTGTTCAAACTTAGCCACGGTAAGCAACAGGTTTATATTTATTGTTTCATTCAGTTCAATGAAGTAAATATTCATTAAGAATGTATTCGCTGGGATTTGAACCTGGGTCTTCTGCAAGAATAATCAGTGTTTAAACACTGAGCCATCTCTCCAGCCCAGTGATGAGTTCTTAACCTGGGTGTTTCTGAGGGCCTCTGGAGGCTTGTGGAACTCCTGAAACTCTATGCAGATATTTTTAAAAACCTTTTAAATTTTATTTGTTGGCTGGGTGTGGTGGTACACGCCTTTAATCCCAGCACTCGGGAGGCAGAGGCAGACGGATCTCTGTGAGTTCAAGGCCAGCTTGGTCTACATAGTGAGTTCCAGGCCAGCTGGGGCTACAGGGAGACCCTGTCTCAAAAAGACAGCCCCCAAATTTTTTTGTTTATTTACTTTCATTTTATGTACATGAGTATTTTGCCTACATGGAATGTTTTGCCTCCATGCATGCAATACTCATGGAGTCTAGAAGAGGGCACTGGATTCTCTAGAACTAGAGGTATCAACAATTGGTAGTCATCATGTGGGTGTTGGAAACCAAACCTGGGTCCTCTGGAAAAGCAGCCAGTGCTCTTAAAGGCTGAGCCAACTTACTAGCTCCTTGAATAACTTTTTTTTTTTTTCCTTTGGTCTTTTTGAGACAGGGTCTCCCTGTAGCTCCAGCTGTCCTGGAACTCACTATGTAGACCAGGCTGGCCTTGAACTCACAGAGATCCGCCTGCCTCCCGAGTGCTGGGATTAAAGGCGTGCACCACCATGCCCGGCCCCTAGAATAACTTTTTAAAAAAACATTTTTAACTGAAATTTTACGATTTTCGTACAATATAATTTGATGGTATTTAGATCCCCTCCCCTATCTGCAACTCCCTTTATTGTACCCCACCCAATTTAATGTACTCTATCATACACACACACACACACACACACACACACACACACACACACACGGCCTATAGAGTCTAATTTGTCTGCAAATGTCCTTCAGAGTAGGTCCATCCGTTGAACCTGGATAGCCTACCAAGAGTCCCATCCTTGAAAGACTGTTTTTCCATTTCTCAACAGCCATTGGTTGTCAAAATTTCCTTAGGTTGGGTTGGGGTTTCTTACCCACTTCCTCACATTTATGCTGCGATTTTGTCTGATCAGAACCTGCATGAAACTTGTGCATGCTGTCAGTCTTGCTATGAGTTCATGTATTAATCACTTTTCTGTTGCTGTAATAGAAACACTGACCAAAACAATTTATAAAGGGAAGAGTTTATTTGAGCTTACGGTTCCAGGGGAATTACAGTCTGTCCTGGCAGGGAGGCATGGCGGCAGAGGTGGCTGGAGGAGGAGCAGTGGAAGCTAAGCTCTACATCTTCCAGCAGGCACAGGAAACAAGAGAGAAACTGGAGATCCAGCAAGGCTTAAGAACTCTCTAAGCCCACCCCCAGTGATGTGCTTCCTCTAGGATAGCCACACCTCTAAAACCTCCCCAAACAGCACTACCATCTGGGGACAAAATGTCCAAATACTTGGAGCCTATGGGGGACATTTTCATTCAAATCATCACAGTTCATATGAGTAACTGACAAGCTGTCTGGAAAATTGTTTTCTTGTGGTCATCTACATCCTGTGGCTCTTACAGTCTTTCCACCTTTTCTGCAATGATCCCGAGCCTTGGGAGGCAGAAGATTGAAACAGGTATTCTATTTAAGGATAAGCACTCTGCAGCCTCTTGTCTGCACATTGGCCAGTTGAGGGTTTCTGCATTAATTACCATCTGCTGCGTAAGGAAATTTCTCTGGTGATAGCTGAGAATGCATATGCAGAATTTTGCGAGCACATTTATTTCTTGGGAGACAATTGAGCATGGCTTCCAAATGCTTCTCAAAGGGATTCATCGTTACAAGAAAGCTAGAAACCTCCAAGGCTTCCCTAAGAAGCTGGAAGTGGTGCTCACCACAGCAGGCAGGGCTCTATTTTCTTTTCATCCCAAATGGAGAAAGTAGAGATGGAAGAGGAGAGCAGAGAGCTTGGTGAAGCACCACAACCACCAGCAGAAGCATATGCTTGATAATGGCATTGCACGGTCACCTATGGAAGCCTTCGCAGGACAAGCTTCATAAGGCACAACATAGCTGCAAGGCCTGTTTAAGAATCAGCCAGCCAGGAGGATCTTTCAGTGAAATGGGAAATAGCCATGTGGTGAAAGTGGATTTCAGCTGTCATAGATCATAGATGTTTATGTTAGAAGTTGGAGAAGAACATCACTAAATACTTGACAGAATTTCTTAATGACAAATCAGAAGGACTGTAGTGGTGAAAAGACATTACCCAAAGTCTTAGAGACCATTGGTGCAGAGCCTGGTAGGGCCCCACTGTGAATTTAAAAAATATACATACAATTATTTGAAAAATTCAGTGGAGGGTAGGGTTAAATTCTACCCTTTCATCTGAAAATAAGTCAGAAAGATCTTTCTATAATCTGTTAATTTTGCTATCTTCAAATAAACAAAACTGTCTATAAGTCTCATTTTAATAGCTTCCTTTCCTGTTCATGAAGGTACAGAAAAACACAAGAGTCATTTATGAAGGAAAGTGGCTTGAGTCCAGTAGCCTATCTTCTTTTTTTTAAAAAAAATATTATTATTTTTTATTTTATGTATATGAGTGCATTGCCTGCATGTAAGTGCACCCGTGTTGTGCAATGCCCTTGGAGGTCAGCACAAGGCGTCAGATTCCCTTGGAACTGGAGTTACAGATGGTTGTTAGCCACCATGTAGATACTGGGAATCAAACCCTGGTCCTCTGCAAGAGAAGTCAGTGCTTTTAACTGCTGAGACATCTCTCCAGCCTGAAAGTAGCCTATCTTCTTATATGGGCCAAGAACATCTGGACTGGCTGATCTCCTAAGTGTGATTTTTCATTTCCTCTCTAAATCAATTTGTCATATGGAACAATTCTATAGAAATGAAGAAAGAAAAATTCTTTCTCACAACTTTTTTAGGAATATAGGCTGCTAATACATTTTCTTGACTCCATTCAAACTTTCTTCCTTGTATTAACTCATGGAGGGTTAGATCAAGAAAATTGGCCTTTATTTGATGGCATGAAAGAACTACTATGAAGGATCAATATTAAATGAACATTTCTTCGTATATATCTAAGTTCCGAATACAGCTAGACTGTCACCAATGTTGGGGGCTCAGAAATTGAAATGTGTTTGTAGATAACTCTGAGTGAGAGAAGCTGATATTTGGAATGTGGCTTAGTTGTGTTAACACCACTAGGAAATGGCTGCTAATGTGGGGATAACTGCATATTTAGCAAAAAAGTCTACATAAAACAACATGTGTGTGTTTGAGTGTGCATGAGTCAGAGATCAAAGGGCCTTCAATATACTGGCAAGTGCTCTACAACTGTGCCACACCCTCAGCTCAATATATAATGCTTATACAGCAGGTGGAATCAGGAGGATCAAGAGTTCTAGGCCAGCCTGGACTAAAAAGAGACTCTGTCATATATATATTTTGGTCTTTTTGAGACAGGTTTCTTTGTAGCCCCAGCTGGCCTGGAACTCGCTATATAGACCAGGCTGGCCTTGAACTCACAGAGATCTGCCTGCCTCTGCCTCCTGAGTGCTGAGACTAAAGGCGTGTGCCACTATGCCTGACCTCTATCTCATATTTTTTAAGTTTATATAATTAGGGACCTTAGCATTTTCTCCTTGGAGTACTACTATCTTTCAGAGGTCACCAAAGGGAAAGTCTACCATCAGCAATGATGTTAGAGAAAACATTTTGTCATCTCCAGCAAATGACACTGAGTGCAAATGAGACACATGAACCCAATTCTCACATGAGAAGAGCCCTCACTGGTAACCTGTGGTTAACATGATTCATCTAGCATTTTTTTATTGTGTCATTAGATATCATGTTTTTCTCTTTGGTGGGATCAGAAGAAAATGTCTTGTTGGTTTAGTAATCTGAGAATAGGGAGGGAGGGAACTCAGGCATCTCTTTCAGTGTTAGAAGGCCAGCCTGTCAGAGTGATAGTGAGGAGGAGAGCACGCAGTAGGGATGCTGTCTGCTGCAGATGGCATAGAAGACAGAAAGCATTCAGCCACAATCTGAAAGTCCTGCCAAGAACCTCTGCCACGATAGAAACCCAAAGGCTGAAAATGTGTTCTTCTGCTATTATTTTATTTTTTCCTTCTAGAAACCCATTTCAGGAATGACTCTCCCTACCCCACCCCCACTGCTTCTTTTTAAAAAAAATATTTTATTTATTATTGTTATTATTTTTTAATTTTATGTGTATGAGTATTATGCCTGCATGTAGGTAAGTGCACCCATGTCGTGAAATGCCCTTGAAGGACAGAAGAGGCTGTCGGATACCCTGGAACTGGAGTTATGGAGAGTTGTTAGCTGTCATGTGGGTGCTGGGATTTGAACCCGGATCTTCTGCAAGAACAGTCAGTGTTCTTAACTGCTGAGCCATCTCTCCAGTACCCCTCCCCCCCACCCCAATTGCTTCTTGAGAGGTCCTTATCTTCCTGGAACATGGCTGTGATAAGTAACAAAATCCCTGTCTTCCTTGGTCCTAGTGACCAGATTCAGAAACTCTCAGGCAGTATTATAACAAATCTGTATTGTTGATCTATAGAGCTCAGATTTATTTTTGGGAACACAAAGGGAAACATATCACCTAAGTATTTCCCTGTGCACAAGGCTGGATTCTGTTCTCTTACCATCAGAAAGGGATTCATAATCGTAATCATATTCATCCTCTTCATCTTCTTCTTCCTCGTTATTGGTGGGCAGAGGGTTGGCATTCCCACCGTTGTAAGCCTGTGCTTGCATAGATGCTAACTGATGAGCCTGTAAGATACCAAGAATTAAGCTATACATGCAACCTACAGGGCTTTCACCCAAACCTTCAAAACTGCCACCTAATGCTTATTACCGTTATTAATAGCAGATTACCTATTTGGATTCATTTGAGAGAGGAAGAAAGTATTTGAAATCATTCGAAATTAAATGTCACTGTAAAACAGGTGATTTGAAGCTGCTTTTGCTAAAATGCCTTGACTCCTCTGGGCTCACAAGGTAACTAAAAGCAGGATCAGTGCCTTCATTTTGTGCTTGTCCCTTCACTTTGGATTACCTGCTTCCCTCTGCATACAGACATGATAATCACTCAAGTAGTGTCTGTTTGACTTATCTCATCTACCTTCAGGGCTGGAGGAACAGAGATAAGTCATTGTACTTAATCTTTCCTCTTGAGTCACCTTGGATTCCCAGAACAGGAGAACTTCATAGAACAGACTCCCCAAATCCCAGAGATGAGAGCAATTATTCATGATGGGGAGGATGCCCCCTTGAATCAGCAGCAATCTCCTAAGAACCATGCTGTCTCCTTAAGCTATAAGGACTTCTTTGGACCATCTGACAGGACCAGAGCTGAAACAAAGATGGCTTGACCACACCCTGACCTCAGTCGCTTAATTATACATACTTCTTGCCTTCAATCTGAGGTAAGGCTCCTGTCAGTACCCTGAAGATGGACTTGGGGGAGGGGATCACTGATTCCTTCATCTGTTCCTCTTTCTAGTGTAATCACATTGAGCAAATTGCCTCTCTCTGCTTTTCACCATTACTTGTGCCTTTAATTGGCATACTGGAGATCAGTGGTTGAGCCTGGCTTGCTGGGGCTGCCACAGCCCAGGTTTTGACCTAAAAACTCTGATTACAACTGTTTGGGTGAATGTGAACATCCTTATAGGAAGAATCCTGAAACTTTTAGAAATAATCACAGGTAACCTGTGTTCTGTGTCTAGCTCTCTAGGCTCCTGGGAAAATTCTGCAAGAAAAATCTCTGCTACTTGGAAAACCAGTATCAGTCCCAAGTGACTGAATGAAACAGCTCATCAATTTTAGAACAGGAAGTTTCTTCTAAGAAACTGAAAAAAATTCTTCCCTTCTTAAAATAATATGTAGAGTCCTCTGACCTTGAAAACAATGTCAGAATCCCTATGGACAAACGGACCAAAAGAATAATTGCTGCTTTAAAGAACACTTTTTCAACAGACATTATCTGAACTATAAATCAAATTAACAAAACAGGCCCAGAACTTTTAGGAAACTTGAGACTGGTGAGATGGTTCAGCAGTTAAGAGAGCATACTTATGACCAGGCATGGTGGTGCACACTTTATCCCAGCATTCAGGAGACAGAGGCAGAGGCAGAGGCAGAGGATGGGGCAGGTGGATCTCTGTGAGTTCAAGGCCAGCCTGGTCTACATAATGAGTTCCAGGCTACCTGTGGATACAGGGAGACCCTGTCTCAAAAATGACCAAAAAAAAAAAAAAAGAGTGCATACTTATAACTCTATCTCCAGAGGAATCTGATTCAAGTGACATTTTTGAAAACAGGATGAACATAATTCTTGGAGATACTATCAACATTTATGAACTAACATCAGAAAAAAGTGTCATTTCTCCTGGTGTCAAAGACCGTGGTGCCAACACTGCTGGCCTGTTCCCAATATTTGTAATCATAGGAAGTACTAAATTTTTACCTAAATTTTTATTGGAAATGAGAGTGAAAGTAAAGATGGCTGATGGAGAAAAGTGTCTGCCCCACAAGCACGTTACCTGGTCTGGATCCCCAAACCTGTAAGGAGAAAACCAACTCCCCAAAGTGTCCTCTGTCCTACACACACACACACACACACACACACATGCACACGCACACACACAAATAAATAAAATAAAAAAGAAAAGAAAGATATCATTTATTTTTATTTCCATTCATAAGCCCCCTGAATTCTAGCTGTGGATATTACCAGAGTTAAAAACTCTTACAGTGTAGGTTGTATTCGGCCTTGGAATTATGTATATTTAAAAATAGTTACCTAGGCTAGGAGTGGTGGTACTTGCCTTTAATCCCAGTACTTGGGAGGCAGAGGAAGGCAGATCTCTGTGAATGCCAGGCCAGCTTGGTCTATAACATGAGTTCCAGGTCAACCAGGGCTACAAGTGACACCCTATCTTAAAAAAAGCAAACTAAGCCAGGCATGGTGGTGCACGCCTTTAAACCTAGCACTTGGGAGGCAGAGGCAGGCAGATCTCTGTGAGTTCAAGGCCAGGTTGGTCTACATAGCGAATTTCAGGCCAGCTGAGGCTACAGGGAGACCCTGTCTCAAAAAAAGCACACACACACACACACACACACACACACACACACACACACACAACCCAAACCCCCCAAAGACAACCAAACAAAAAACCCCAAACTATTCCAATTTGAAAAATTTTTAGTTCAATTTAAGTAAAAATAATTTTCATGTTCCTGGTCCAAATGAAGAAAAAAAAAACCTGAAATAAGAACAGAAAACTGTGAGAGGTGCTGGATTCTTGTTAACAATGTGATTTCAATGTAAATAAAAGATTTTAAATAAAAAATTAATTAAAATATTTAAATTACATTTATTTATTTATTGTGTATGTTTATATACTCATGTGGGCACTCATGCCATAGTGGGCACATGGAGGTCAGAGGACAACCGGGGGAAGTTGGTTCTGTCATTCTAGCATATGGGTCCTGTAGATTGAACTCAGGCAATTAAACTTGATGGCAAGTGATAATGCAAAGAGCCAGACAGATGCCCTGCTGAAAAGATCGAGCTGTGGGGAAAGGGCAGTATTCAAGGCCCACTGACAGCAATGTTAGAAAATGGTGTGCCAAGGCCCTTCATACACACACACACACACACACACACACACACACACACACGTACGCACACACACAGGTCGTGAAAATAGAAGAAAGGGTCTATTTGGAAAGAAGAGGACCAGTGGAAGGGCAGCTAGGAGAGGGTAAAGGAGGTGAACATGGACAAAGTACATGATATATTTGACTAAAATAAAATTATTTTTATTTTATGTCTATGAGTGTATTGCCTGCATGTACGCAAGTGCACCCTTGTCATGCAGTGCCTGTGGAGATCAGAAGAGGGTGTCAGATCCCCTGGAACTGGAGTTACAAAACAGCTGTTAGCAGCCATGTGGGTGCTGGGAATTGAACCCAGGTCCTCTGCGAGATCAGCCAATGCTCTTAACTGCTGAGCCATATCTCCAGGCCCTCTTAATCATTTTTTTTTTTATTCTGGGGATGGAGCGATGGCTCAGTGGTTAAGAGCACATGGTACTCATGCAGAGGGTTTGGGTTCTACTCCTAACACTCACATCAGGTGGCTCATACCCACCTGTAACTCTAGTTCCAGGGGATCCAATGCCTCTGACCTCTGTGGGCACCTGCATTGCCATTCACATACCCCCCCAATTAAAAATAAAATGAATCTTAAAAAATGATTATGAAGCCTATCACTTTGTACAAGGAATGTATGCTAATAAAAGTTTTTAAAAATTTACCTTAGAGAAATACAAAAACTTGATGGATAATATTTAATAGAGAGTCTCCTTTAAATGCTGATAAAACTTATGACAAGCTGTTTTGGATGCTATTATAGACTACACCTTTGTAAATTTGCTATTTGTTTCTGGCACGTAAAACTGTAATTGTACTTCATGCACTGATTTTGATTTAGAAGTCTTGCCAACTTTACATATTCATCTCCACAGTTTCTGGATTCTTTCAGATTTTCCTTTACCCACATATGATGACTGATATACTTGATAATGCCTTCTATATTAATAACAACTTATCTACTCATCTGATCCTTTTTACAGTAAACAACAACAAACAAACAAACAAACAAAACCCAAAATACAAGAAACAAAATCAGGGACTGGAGAGATGGCTCAGTGGTTAAGACTTCTAAATCAAAAGACCCAGGCTCCAATCCCAGCACCCACCCGGAAACCAACAACCATCTGCAACTCCGGTTCCAGGGGAATCTGACTCCCTCTTCTGTCCTCCATGGGCATTGCACAACACAGGTATACCTACATACATGCAGGCAAGCAGGGTTCCCAGCACCCACATGGTGGCTAAAAACTGTACTAACTCTAGTTCCACAGGATCCGATTCTCTCTTCTGAGAGAGCATCCTGGGCATTGCACAACATGGGTGCACTTACATACATGTAGGCAATGCACTCATACACATAAAATAAAAATAACAAATAAAATATTAAAAACAAAACAAAGGCCAGGTGTGGTGGCACACACCTTTAATTTCAGCACTGAGGAGGCAGAGGCAGGCAGATCTTTGTGAGTTCAAGGCCAGCTGGGGCTACAGGGGAACCTTGTCTCAAAAAGACCAAAGAAACAAAACACAAAACAAAATAAAATAAAGATTAAAAACAGAAAAAAAAAGGGGTGGTGGTGGTGGAAACACCCACTCTGAGAAAACAGTGTTCTAGAAGAAACAGCATCCCCTGCTGGGTGCCCAGTTACCGACACAGCCTGGGAGGAAGGCCAGTTAGAGAGAGCATACACATGCTGACATTTTAGCTGAAACGCTTCATTATAAGACTGAAATCTTGTTCTTATGGCTTTTGGAACCTAACCAAATGCCAGGTTTCCTGGAGCAATTTTAAGAATGCAAGTCAGGATAAAAGTATTTAAGAAGGTCTGAAACCCCTGGGTCTTGGGGGAACTCAACTTCCATATCAGGCTTGCTCGGTTAGTGCAACATTTTCTTTTTGAAAGCAATAGGATCTTAACTATGTTGCCCAGGTAGGTCCTCAATTCTTGGACTCAGATGATCCTCCTGCCTCAGCTTCCTGAGTAGCTAGAATTACAGGTACAGATCATAAGTGTTCTGTGCATATAATATTTTTAATTCTTTTAAAAGGGGTCAAAAATTAAAAAAATAAAAATTTAATTAAACTATAGCTGCTCATTTGTAGGAGCATACACATTCCATTTCTATCCACCACTCCCCAATCTGTCATCTAGCCCTCTGGCTCCTCACACTTGCTTGGCCCCTTAGGGTGTCTGATTGTGCTTGGTGTTGTATGTGGGGAATGTGTATTTCCAGGGTACAGAGATGTCTAGGGATATGCAGGTTCAGGTACTGTTTAAAGAAATCCACTTGTGGACCATCAGCTTTCCATGTGTGCCCCAGTCAGCATGCAGGCTTGCCTGAAAGTAAGTTCATAGTTGGCTTCTAGCTCTTCCTTTTACTTCCCTTTTAGCGGTATTCTCTTCCAACTTTTAGAAGAGGTGTAACTCTCACTCACCAACAATCTTTATGTGATGCCTGGCGTCAAGTGATAGGTACACCTAAGAGTGAGACATGCCTGAGAGAATGTCTCAAGAAACTAAAGGGGACTGGAGAATGCCATTTCATCCATGCAACTAACACCTGCACGGACCCACTTCCTCCTCCATTCCCTCTCTCTTGCCTCTGCCCATCTTAGAAGAGAAATTCAAAATCAAGATGACCATTATAGGGATAATACAATGCTTATTTGAATTTAAAAACAAATGCAGACTTTTTTCCTGACAGAAATAGTAGATTAATAAGGCTGATTAATTCAATAGTGAGGACTATTTTGAATACAATATGTACAGATGTAGAGATATAAGTAATAAATGATATGCTAGGAAATACATCCTGTAAATGTTTCAACTTTGTGATAAGATTTTTAATATCCTTAAAAATGTAGATCTGGGCATGGTAGCACATGCTTCTAATCCTAACATGCCTCCTTCATGCAGGTTTTAAACTCAGACACTGCTTGAGTTAGGTCTTGAAAAGGTCTGATGGTTCCTCCAAATAAAAAATTCAACTGTTAGGGGCTGGAGAGATGACTCAGCAGTTAAGAGCGCTGGCTGCTCTTGCAGAGGACCCAAATGTGATTCCCAGCACCCACATGGTGGCAAACAACCATCTATTACTCTAGTTCCAGGGGATCCAACGCCCTCTTCTGACCTCTGTGTGCATTGCATGACACAGGTACACATATGTACAGACAATACACTCATACACATAAAAAATAATAAATAAAATATTAAGAAAGAAAATTCAAGTATTAATAAATGAAACTGCATACCTGAATTCATTTGACCTGACATTTTAAAACTAAAGACCTAGAACAAAGATTCCAGATTTACTGTGCTGATTTCTAGAGCAGAAATATAACAAGGCCAGGAGGCCTACAGGCTCTCAGAGAAAAATCTGAAGCCCCTGGTGCTGTGGCTGTCTGCCTCCTCATGCGGCAGAGCTTCCTATAACTGTTCTTGATTGCTGTAAGTTTGAAAACCATTGTTTGAAAGCCAGCAGTGCCCTCCTAAACAGGACAAGCCATTTTGGCAGCTACTCTTCTTTGGGATAAGTAGGTGTGGCTGGCATATGGGTTCAGCATCCTGTACCCATCTGTACAGGCTGGGGCTTAAGCACAGATCTCTGGGCACAAGGTGGGAGCAGAAGCACCTTGTGGTCAACATGCTGCTATGATACACCGGGTCTTAGGCCTGCTGTTATTGATCCCCAGGTCTAAGTTATCACCCTAAAGGGGATTATAGCAACCATTAGGGGACCCTGAAGGCTGGTTCCAGGGAGAGGAGTCACACATCATCCACACAGAATAAATTAAATAATGGAGGTACATTCTAATGGGCACAATTCCACAACATAAATAGGTTAGCGTGGTGAGAGAATTTTATTGGTTCATAGGAAGCCCCAAAGTAAGTATATAATTCAAGGGAACTCACTTCTTAAAACTTGGCTATCAGGGCTGATGAGATGGCTCAGCAGTTAAGAGCATGTATTGCTCTTACAGAGGACCCAAGATGGATTCCCAGCATCAACATCACACATCTCACAACTGCCTGTAACCCCAGCTACAGGAGATTCAATACTCAATTCTGGTCTCCCTAGGCACCTGTTCTCACATGTACACACCCACGCAGACACACCCACGCAGACACACACATATATACACAATTTAAAATAAAAAAATAAAAAACCTTGCTATGTAGCAGGTCATCTGAAAGGTCCAAATGACATTAATTTCCTTGTCCTGAGCCTACGGCATATTCCTAACCTGCTTAACAAAGGAGTACCTTTTGCTTTAAGATGTCCACTGGTGTCTGATGGGCCTTTAGCTTCTTATTTTTAAGAAGTATTTTCCTCCTAAGTTGATCAGGTGAGGGAAGCATTGGATCATCTGAGAAATCAGTCTCAAATAAGAATTTAGCCACCAGCTTTTCTCCAAATACATTCTACAAAGAAAGGAAAACATGTCATCAATGCCTTCTATCACTACTTGATAAGTACATTTATATTTCCTATTCATATTTCCTAAATATACTAAATATTTCAGCCTGGTTGAATTGTTTTAGAAATCCAAGGAAGGGGAACTAGGGGAGGAATTGTTTATCTCTTGGCAGTTTCCTACTGGAAGGAAGGGATGTGTTCAGGACAGGGGGAAGACCTAAGGCACTCAGTAGAGGGAACCAGCTGTGATAATTTAGGAAAATGTTCTGGGGTCTGATGTAATAAAGAAGAAAACAGAGATTCCATGAGAGGCTGTGGCTTGTACAACATGGTTTATTCCCAGTGAGGATAAGAAGTCAGCAGTATAGAAACCTTGAAGCAGAGACTGAGAAAACGATGAAAGAAAACAGGGAGAATTCATTTCAACGCAGGATGAAGAATAGACATCATTTTCACAATGACTTGTGAGCATGGGTCTCCAAAGCAGAATGTGTCTCTCAAGGGGTCTTTAAGTGAACGATAGACACAGGGTGACCAATTAAGATGAGGGTAGAAATATGGTCATTTAAATTTTTAGTTATCTTTAATTAATAAGTATCAACATGAAAAGGTAAAGCTTTGCTGGCATTAGTTTTGGAGGACATTTCTTCTGTCAGTACTTTATCCTTCCATCAGAGCTACATTGCCACAAATGCTTCTCTCATTGGAGAAGGGGGAAGTCTAATGGAATATCTGCCCCTAAGTCTGTCTGCATTACATTTCCTTTGCATAAGGAAGTTGACTATTAACACAGCAACTGTTCTGAACAGTCTAAATTGTTAACTTGAATCCCTATAATATTGTGTGGGTTGCAAGACTATATGACTTTCTCTGAAATATTTCCAGTTTTTCCATGTACGACTTGTGGTATCAGGAATGTTGGAGAATTGGTCTGTCCTTATCTCCTAAGGCTTTCTGGAAAGGGTCAGAAAATCAGAGAACAATACCTGTGTCCCTAAAGCTGAAAAGAGGAACCATTCTAGAAAAAGGCCCAAGTTTTCTAGGTAACCCCACTTTTCGGGTCTGTGGGACCCTAACTGTGCATGCTTCATGGGTGAAGTCTAGTTGTGGTGTGGCTCATGTGGACCCCATATATACCCCAACAACATCTACAAGACAATAGCCAAGACAACCACATCCTCCTCCTTGGGAGCTCACCTTGAAAATTTCTGCCATTTTTCGTTGCTGAGGCAATGAACAGTGGTTCTCAATGGATATGATGATTGGTAGGTCAGAGGTGATGAAGGCACTACGATCAATGGCTTCCACCACCTCCTGTGAGAGCCAAACAGCTCATTAGAGTCAGATATCTTTCTAGGGTGGTCTGAAGGCAGGTACTCAACCACAGAAAATATCTTAAGTGTTTTATCTGGCAGATTCTGGCTCAAAGTGATTTTTATCTTTTCAAATGTACAGTCATCTCTCTGGATCTGTGGCAGATTGATTCCAAGAACTCTGCTGATACTGACATCTATATGATGCTCAAAGCTCATATAAAATGACATAATTTGGGGGTTGGAGAGGTGTCTCAGAGTTGGGAGCACTGACTCCTCTTGCAGAGGACCTGTGTTCCATTCCCAGGACACACATGGCAGCTAACAGCTGCCTGCAACTCCAGTTCCAGGAGAGCGCCCTCTTCTGACCTCCTTGGGCACTGCACGACAAGGGTGCACCTACCTACATGCAGGCAATACACTCATACACATAAAAAATAATAATAAATAAGCCAGGTATGGTGGCGCACGCCTTTAGTACCAGCACTCGGGAGGCAGAGGCAGGTGGATCTCTGTGAGTTCAAGGCCAGCCTGGTCTACACAGTGAGTTCCAGGACAGCTGGAGCTACACGGAGACCCTGTCTCAACAAGGCCAAAAAAAAAAAAAAAAAATGACATGATATTTGCATATAATCTACACATATCTTCTCATGTACTTCAAATAATTTCTAGATTACTTAGACTCCCTAGTGCAATATAGATACATTATTTCAGGAATAATGACAATAAAATGTCTCTACAAATTCAATGCAGACACATTCCCCCCCATTTGGTGGGGGGCTCTTTTTGAGACAGGGGCTCCCTGTAGTCCCTGCTGGCCTAGAACTCATTATGTAGGCCAGGCTGGCCTTTAACTCACAGAGATCCACCCGCCTCTGCTTCTGAGTGCTGGGACTAAAGGTGTGCGCCGTCATGCCTGGCCACCCCCCGCCCCCGCCATTTAATTGACCCACAGTTGGTGGGTGGCTGAACTGTGGTACAGAGTTCATGGCTAAGAATGGCTGAATGTACTTTTACACTGAGCAAGCAAGTAGGCTATTTTGTATAAATTCAACTCACTGTTCATATTAAGCCTTGTTCTCATATTATAAAAAGCAGCTCTCACTATGTTGAATTGAATAAACTAATATACACCAAGAAAGTAAGTAAAAGATATTGTTTCAGTTACAGCATCAAATATAATGAAGGCTAAGATACTTTGAAAACGTCAATCTATTTGGAGCAGTAAGGCCCAAATCATATCTTCAAAATTGTTTTCGATTTATTTTAAAAAATATTTTATTATTTTTATTCTTTATTTTATGTATATGAGTATATTGCCTGCATGTATGTGCGTGCACCAGTGTTGTGCAATGCCGCAGAGGTCAGAAGAGGGCTTTGGATTCCCCTGGAACTGGAGTCAAGGACGGTTTGAAGCTACCATGTGGGTGCTGGGAATTGAACCCAGGTCCTCTGCAAGACCAGTTAGTGCTCTTAACTGCTGAGCCATCTCTCCAGCCCCTGACTGATTTATTTTTATTTTCTGCATTTGAGTGTTTTGCCTGCATGTATGTGAGTGCACCAGATGCATGCAATGTCCTTGAAGGTCAGAAGAGGATGTCAGGTCCCCTGAAACCAGAGTTATAGATGGTTGTCAGCTGCCATGTGGGTCTTGGGAGCCCAATGAGAATCCTCTAGAAGAGCATCCACTTCTCTTAATCACTCAGCTATCTCTCCAGCCCCACATATCATTATCTTTACATGTCTAGAAACACACCCATCCACCAATATACATAAATAGAAAATGAGTTGAGAAAAAATGCATTTTAGCCACTATCTCTACATATAAGATGATGATGATGATAATAATAATAATTAATAATAATATTCCTTCCCAGCCTGGCCACAGCTCAGAGAAAAATTATGTTACATAGCTTAAGACCCTCAGAAACTATGAAATAATCCAATAAGGCCAGTCTCTTGGGGTAATGAATCTTCCCAGGTGGAACTGGTTCACCTCATTTTAATAATGTTAATTATTTATTGACCTCCTAACATATGATACTGTCCTTTGTCAGCAGGACAGCAGGATAAATGACCTTTAATTCTTATAGCAAGAGAACAGTCAGTCTATCTTTAGTTATCACTGTATCATGCAAAAATAGCAACAGCATCGCTATGTCCTAACATAAGGGTATTAAAACTTTAGTTGAAAAAGAATCTAGTGAGAGTTCTAGGTCAAATCCCAGAAAAATGAACCTATGCACATCCCACACAGTACTGCAAACACCTTCTGAACGTCTTTTTTCAGATCCAGCCAAAGAATCTCTAACCTAAAGCATAATTTGGTAGAGTGAATAATTTAAATGACAAATGAAGATAATGTGTCTGTGAGTTCAAGTTCATTACCTTGAATGGGATCTTGGTGGTCAGTGTATGTCCATGATAAATAATGGGCATTCCATCGTCTCCATCCCAGCAGTCCAGCTCTATGCTCCTGCAGCCTTGCAAGAGGACCTGTGTGACCAATGAATGAATTCACCCAGATGAGCACCTGGAGATAAAGCCTCAAACCGAACTCAGCACACAGTTCTGTATCAGTCAGCATTCACATTCAGGGACAAAGAAAAGGGATATAAAATCTAAAATAAATATTGCTTTTTGGTCAAAGGTCACAATTAATATTGGCTATGGAAGGGAGAGAACAGACTAAGGTAGAAGGAGTTTTTTTTATTTTTTTTTTAATTTTATTTTTTTACCAGAACTGCAGAACTGAATATTGTTGAAAGGTAAAGTATGAGAGCAAGAACAGAGGACCCCCAACCCCGCTCTTTTTTTCTTTCTTTTCTTTTTTTTTTTTTTTTTTTTTTTTTTGTCTTCACTATGTAGCTCTGGCTGGCCTGGAACTCTCTATGTAGACCAGGCTGTCCTGAGCTTACAAATCCATCTGCCTCTGCCTCCTAAGTGCTGGGATTAAAGGCATGTGCCACCATGCTTGGTCAGGCATCTTTTTTTTATTGTCTTTTTTTGAGACAGGGTCTCCCTGCAGCCCTAGCTGGCCTGGAACTCACTATGTAGATCATGCTGGCCTTGGACTCAAAGAGATCTGCTTGCCTCTGCCTCCCAAGTGCTGGGACTAAAGGCATGTGCCACCACACCCAGCCTGCATATTTTTTTTTAAAAAAAATCCTTTGTTCTTTAGAGGCTGGAGGGATGACTCAGCAGTTAAGAGCACTGGCTGCTCTTGCAGAGGACCTGGGTTCGATTCCCAGCACCCACATGGTGGCCAACAAAACTCAAAGAGATCTGCTTGCCTCTGTCTCCCAAGTGCTGGGACTAAAGGCATGTGCCACCACACCCAGCCTGCATATTTTTTTTTAAAAAAAATCCTTTGTTCTTTAGAGGCTGGAGGGATGACTCAGCAGTTAAGAGCACTGGCTGCTCTTGCAGAGGACCTGGGTTCGATTCCCAGCACCCACATGGTGGCCAACAACCATCTTAACTTCAGTTCCAGGGAATTTGATGTCTTCTTCTGACCTCCATGGGACACCACGAAATGGGTGCTCTAACATACATGCAGGCAATCCATTCATACACATAAAATAAAAATAATAAATACAATATTAAAAATATATTTCATTTTTTAGAATGGCAGATCTTGAAATTAGACCATGCAGTTCCTATCCCTAACTGATACAGCTACAATGCAACCTGGCATCTATGGCTCAGGGAATATTGTGGAAGAGGGGGTGGAAAGATTGTAAGAGCCAGAGGACCAGGACACCTGCTATTAGATAGTGTCTTCTACATATGATAGAGAAACAGTACCCATGAAATCTCAACAATATGGTTTCCTAAGAAAGACCTGCATAATGACAATACTAGTTGACATGCCGACATGAATGGGGAAATTTCACAAGGCTCTACATAAAATCAACAGCTACTTCAGAGGGAGAATCAAGTAAGCTCCTTGAAAGGTTATCCAATTCCAAGTGCTCAGCCCTAAACACATACACATACAAGGACCACTAAATGGACTCATTAGGTTTGTGTGTGTGTGTGTATCCACATATGTATATATATAACCATAATAGTTAAAGAAGAGGTCATGAAATTGAGAGAAAGTAGAATATGGGCAGAGTTGGGGGGGAGAGTGAGAGGTGGAAATGATGTAAATACAGTACGAATATATGATACTATAAAAATACATAAATGAAAAGAAAGCTAGCCAAGCTTGGGTCTGCAAGCCAGCCAGTGTTCCTTGGTTTCTGCTTCAAGTTCCTTCTTGAGTTCCTGTCCTGACTTCTCTTAATGATAGACCATAAATGTAAGCTTAAAGAAACTCTTCCTTCCCCTAAAAAACTATCCTTTGTTCTTTGAAATGGCACATCTTGAAATAGTCAGGCTAGTGCTCTAGGGAGATGTCGGTGGAGGTGAAGATGCACACTCCACAGCCAGAAGGATTAAGGCCACTGATGCCTTAGTGAGCTAATATAAATATCTATATGAATCTAATCAAGATATAAGCTCTCCAGCAACACCTAAACTCAGCAACGAGGAAACATTTTAATAAATAAATCTGGGTGTGGCGTGGTGGTGCACGCCTTTAATCCTGGCACTCAGGAGGCAGAGGCAGGCGGATCTCTGTGAGTTCAAGGCCAGCCTGATCTACATAATGAGTTCCAGAACAGCTGGGGCCACAGGGAGACCCTGTTTCAAAAAGACCAAAAAAAAAAAAAAAAAGCAGGGAACTGTCAAGGATTTGCCTGGTTGACTAATCCTGAAATTACATCTAGAGCAGAGATGGTCAGTAATCCATAAGCTCTCATTTTTCCCAGACACAGCAGTCACCAGCCACCAGTCACTCACACATGCCCCCTAAGTTTTGATATGCTACTTCTCAACCTCTTCAGGAAACCACTCCAAGAAGCTCTGCCAGTGACTTAGATGAGATGACCCATTTGCTATCCTGGATCTGAGGCTGGAAGGAGGACACTTGGTACATTTTCACTGGTTGCAGCTTTTTAACATCTGTTTGGAGCAATCTCATCCTCCATAGACTCATCTGTATACTGTCTTAAAAAATTTATCACATAATGGGATGGTAACTCAAGACATGGGGTTGATTTATCTGTGAATGAGCTGACCCACTGATTTGAGAATACGTATAATTATTTCCAGTAATCCATTACTGGACTGTATTGGCCACTAGTTTCTGCAACAAAATTTACTGAAATGTCAAATATAAATATTTTTATATGAAATACTAAATAGATTCTTCCCAATATATGGTATAGTTGGTGACCTAGAATCCCAAAGCTATACGCTTCTGATGGCAGCTACTGTGTCTGCAAGTATACCACCTTGGCTTGAAGAAAGCTATGTAATGTGTCAGCTGGAACAGGAGACCGCTTCTTCTCTGACGAGCCTGCCAAACTGACAAGAATGGTCAGCAATTGGCAACAGGTAAAGTAGTTTTTTCAAAATGAAAAGATTAAAGGTCTTTGTTGAAGTCTGCATGACCTTAATGTCTCTGCATAAGGCTAGAAAAGAAAAATCAGGGTTTGGAAAGTCCAGGTAAGGACAATTTTTATTTTCCATCTGCCCCACAAAAAGATTATGGGAAGTAATTGAGAGGGCCAAGGGAGAGTAGAAAATAATTAGAAACAATTGTAAAGGAGGACCTGCACATGGTTTAATCACATCTAGGAATCTGAGGGGTCTTTGTGCCTTATTCAAAAGTTGTGATAAATCTGGGTGTGGTGGTACACATTTTTAATCTCAGCATTTGGGAGACCGAAGCTGGTAGATCTCTACTGAGGCCAGCCTGGTCTATATAGTGAGTTTCAGGCCAGCTGGGGCTACAGGGAGACCCTGTCTCAACTCCCCCCCAGCCAAAAAAAGATAGCTGTGATAATCTCAACTTGGTAAATAATGTTAAGGAGTTTGAACATTCTTGAAGTCAAACAATGACTTTTGAAATAAAACTAAGAAATGGTCCTTGGATTTTTTTTCCTGGAAGAACAGACACATATAGTATATACATAGAGACATATATAATTATGTATATATGAAATGTATAGAGTAGTTCAGATATATAATCTATACATATATTTCTTATAAACAATGAATATCAAACTAAAAATTACATTTACTTATTTATTATTTATTTATTTAGTGTGTGTGTATGCATATGTGTGCGGGCACATGCATATTCTAGCATGTGTGTGGAAATCAGAGGACAACTTGCAGGAATCCGTTCTCTCCTTTGACTATGTAGGTCCCAGGGACTGAACTCAAGCCATTAGATTTGGTGGCAAGTACCTTAACCTGATGAGCCATCTCACTGGCTCCTCAGTTTTTGACTTTGGAGATCTCTGTTGAAACAAATGACAGCATGTAAAGCAGGTAAAAGAGTAGTGCCTTAGCAGAAGTGTGCCAGGGAACAGCCCCGGCCTTGTCTGTGGTTTACTCATCTCAGCATGAGCCAGTGAGGGCCTCTGACAGATTCCCATTTGAAATGCACTAAGGACATATCTTCATGTCATAACAATAATTCCCTAGAATTCAGTTTAAAATACATACTTCTGTGTTAAATGAGCATTGGGGAGAAATGTGCCCAGGCTACAATGAATATCTGGACCAATCCAAAGAACAAAGACCTCTCATTGCTGCTGGGGTTGTGTAAATAATATAATTGCAATTTTCAAATTCAGATTCACAAATATACAACTACACGCTTACCAATCGGTGGACCTAACCTGGCTGCCTCCTGATTTCTGATAGGAGTTCAGAAAATAGCCCAGAAGAGGAAGTTGTGGACAATGTCACAGAGAGGCATGGGACATGCAGACTGCTGGGAGCTGGGTGGCTAGGTCAAAGGATGTGCTTTTCCCAGTCCAGAGCGCCTACTGTTTCCCAAAACATTCCCACGAATTTCAGGGTGGAGGAAAGTGCCTCTAGTCTGTGTAGTTTTTTTTTTTTTAAGTTGGTTGCCATAGGGATGGATTGATTGTCTAACAAATTGCAAAGCAAAACAAACCAAACAATATTTTTGGATTAACTCTGTAAGAAAGTTCCATTTTCTACTATGCTTTCTCACTACAATATATTGATTTATTTAGCATGTAGTGAAACGATTGGATAGCTTTCCCATGGGAAAATCTAATTTTAGTAGGACTAGGTCAGACTAGGATCTAAAAGCTACGAATCTCAAATCCTTTTTTTTTTTTTTTTTTTTTTGCCTACAATAAAGGTTAAGTACAGATAGAGAGAAAAACAAAACAAAGCAAAAAAGAGGCAAAGAAAACAATTGCTATGTGTAGCCAGTTTTCCCACACATCATGGCTCCTCACATTTACATGGCATAGTTTATAACCTCTTCAAAGGGTTCTGGGGGCAGGCTTTTGGGATTTGGGTATTTCACAGTAAGAAAGCTTCATGCAAACCACATCCCAAGCAGCATTCTCGGTACCTGGCTGTAGAGTTCTACTGAGGACTCTCCTTTGAGCTGATGGCCCGTGAGGTAGGTATTGTGTGAAGATTCAATGTAATAGTAGGAGAGGGGTAGTTGCAATTCTTTCTTGTTTTCCTGTGACTCATCATTTTTTGAGGCAAAATTATCTTTATCCATCAGAAACCTAGGTGAAACACATTTTCTTCAGATCACATGAGAGCAATGTATACTCTTAAGTGATGTGCAAAAGATATTTGAAAAGTTACCTTGCAAAACCTTCAAATGACATTAGGCCCTGATGACACATACTGATGCTAGGTTCGAATTTCTGCAAGAGATTAAAAAAAAGTGATATTTAGGTAAAGGAAACTAAGGAGGGAAAAAAGAAAAAAAATACACATCATTTTTAAAAGCTATTCTGTTTTCATCAGGAAACATCTAAACCAAATATTTGAATTAATTTAGTGAGGTAGTGGTAAGATGTAGTTTTTAGTCCAAAAGAAAATATTTATTATATGTGAGTTTATTATACTAAGCATATTTATTTAAAAGAAGAAAAGGGAGCAAGAGAAAAGAATAAGGCTGACTTATATGAAAACACTCAGAGTCAGTTTATCCAGGTGAAAACAGGGATAGTAGTGGCAGTTTCCCTTACAGTGGTGGGATGAAGGATGAGGTGACTACCATGTCTGCAGTCAATCATGTTACAGTGAACACTCAGCAAGGTACAGAGACTTCAACTTTTGCATTTTAATGAGTCATACCCAAATGTGACCCAATCAGGTGATCAAGCTAATTCTGCTCTGTGGGACCTTGCTGTGTGGAAGTTTCACTCCCTATCCCCTGCCACCCTCTAAACAGCTACCACCTCTTGCCTGGGCTACTTAGACAACCCATCTTTCATCAGCACAGTTTACTCCCAAATGGGCTCACAGTGACCTCTTAAAACATAAATCATGTTACTTCCCTGCTCAAATTTTTCCAATGGCTTCCCATTTCACACAGACAGAAGTCAACCTCCATCCCACTGTCTAAAAGGCACAGATGATTGGGCCTCTGGACACTTGTGTGAAATTGTGTCTGTCATTCCTTTCCTGACTCTGATGACTCTAGCTTTTTTGATGCCCCTCATAAATCCCAGGCTCACTCCTGCTTCCGTCACTGAGCTGGCTGCCCTCTTTCCTCAGAACTTGACTTAGAGCTCAATGCAAATACCTCCTCCCCACTGTGGCTCAGCCTTCCTGCATCACTCTGTATCTTTGCCCCAGTCATTTTAAAAGAACCTATTCTTGGAATTATGTATCTTTGCCTATTGTCTGCCTTATACACCAAAATGAAAGCTGCACAGAGGGCCAAAACTTTGTCCAATACTGTATTTCCAGTTCTTGGAATAGAGCTGGCAGAGCACGAGCTAATGTGTTAAATGACAAAAAGTTGAAAATTGAGATTGTTGGATGTGTTAGAAAACAAAGAGGAGTTATGTACACGTTCACCAAGTCAGAGATGCCCTAGGACCCACGTTAATTATATGGTTATTAATTAATTGCAAGAATACTAGACTTGGCATTAAAAGAAACTATTTCTACTCCAGACATGAAGGCTTTGGAAAGAAGTATCGAAAGGGCAAATGCTTTGTAACAGATTACTAGACTAGTCAGAGGCATGACACACATGTGAAACACAAAACGGGCACAGACCTGGATGATGCTGAGGATTTCATCATATGTGCAGTGTTCACCTTGGCAGTTCACCAGGAAGTCGTTGAGTTGGAGTATGCCAACCCCAAATATGCCCAGGGATGTGCTCTCGATGCCAGTGCCATTTGTCACAATACTTGCAGCAGCAATTGCATCAGATATCTGCCTCTGGTTGTCAGAGAGCTGCTGTTTACTCTTAATAAACAGCCCCAAGTCTGAGACGTTTCTGGTGAGCAAATCTGAAAGACAGCCACACACAGAGCATGGACTCCCGTTCAGAAGCCTCTTTCACAAAGTTCATTTGGAGATAATGGTGCTACAGAGTCAATACACTGGAGGAACCCTTTACTAATTGTCCAAACAAGGTGGCAAACTTAGTGCTTATTCCAGGCTTTCCATAGTACAGGGCATAAAAAATGAATCAATGAATAAATAAAAGAACGCAGGGGCTGGAGAGATGGCTCAGTGGTTAAGAGTGCTTGCTGCTCTTCTCGAGGACCTGGTTGGGTTCCTAGTGCTCATGTCAGGTAGCTCACAACTGCCTGTGACTCCAGCTGCAGAGTATCTGATATCCTCTCTTCTGGTCTCCACAGGCAACTGCACACATGTGGCATATACTCACACAGACACTAAGGCACAGCTAGTTGGTGACATTGCAATCCTGTGAGGTTCAGTATAACATGGAAAATAAATGTTGATTCAAAATGGGAACTGGAGGCCAAATTCAGATTTTGTTTTTGAGAATATCTGCTTCTAAATTTTTCTTTTTGTGGAGACCAAAGATACACACTCTTAAACTTTTCTGTACTTTAAATTTGTAACTATAAACATCTGTATATAGGTTTTATTAAGAAACTATACACTGCCATTTTATATTTCTACCATCAATGTCCCAAGGTTCTGATTGATCCTCATTCATAGAAACTTGGCATGGCTAGTTATTTATAATTGTTGCCATTTTGGAAGATGATGTGTCAGTTTCTTATAAGGCAAAACATAGGCTTACCATATATTCTATCACTCTTAGGTACTTAACCAAAAGATTTAACAACATATGCCCACATAAAAATATACATACAAATCTTGACAGCAGGTTTTTATTTATTATTTTTATTTTATGTGTATGAGTGTTATGCCTGCATGTAGGTAAGTGCACCCATGTCGTGCAACGCCCTCAAAGGACAGAAGAGGCTGTCGGATCCCCTGGAACTGGAGTTACGGACAGCTACTAGCTGCCATGTGGGTGCTGGGATTTTGAGCCTGGGTCTTCTGCAAGAATAGTCAGTGTTCTTAACTGCTGAGCCATCTCTCCAGTCCCTTGAGAGCAGTTTTATTCATAATTGCTAAATCTGGAAGTAGTCAAGTGGCCTTCAGTAAGTTACTGGATATACAAACATGTTTTGTCCACATACTAGAATATTAGGCTTCCATGTACATGAGTGCAATGCACACAAAAGGCCACAACTGGCCAAGTTCTGGAGAATAAGAGACTGTAGAGTGTAGGATGGGACTCCTATGTGGAACCTCACCCACCCATGGCTCAGGGACCATTGTGGAAGAGGAGGCAGAAAGTTTGTAAGAGCCAGGGCTGGTTCATGAACACAGGGAGGTCAAGGCTTTCAGGCCACTGGAGGCTTGCTTATGTAAGCCTGTGGCAGTGGTGGTGTCGAGTGCAGGACTCATGTCAGCTCAATTAAACAAGGACCCAAAGGGGAGGTGAGAAATAGGTGGCAGGCCAGCATTAGATTGGAAACTATTTGAGACTGATTGCTGCTGGGTGAGGGAGAGTATGACTTACATACAACCACTGGATGGGCTGACTAGACAGCAGTGGATTCATTTACACTGATGGATATTTGGGTACAAACATTTGAATTAATAGGACTCAGCATGTATGGCAAAGTGCATAGGGTTTGGTTGGGGGATAGTGGGAGACATAGATGGGGGAGGGAGGGCTGGATTTGAGTGGGAAATGTGTGAAATTTAAAAAGCTCAGTTAAAAAAATAAAAAGATAATTTACCCATTAAGCTGAAAAAAAAAAGGAAAGAAAAAGAAGAATAGAGGCAGCATAAATGCACATTGCCAAGTGAAAAAAAATCTCATTCTGGAAAGGTTGCATGCCATGTGATTCCAATGATACAATGTTACAGAAAAGGCAAAATTAGGTATTTAAATTTGTTTTACTTATTTTTATTTCGTGTGTTTGAGTGTTTTGCCTGCATGTACGTAAGTGCACCACGTGCATGCAGTACCTGTGGAGACTAAAAGAGGGCATCCAATCTCTGGAACTGGAGTTACTGACTGCTGCTTTCCACCATGTGGGTGTTGGGAACTGAATGTTGGTCCTCTGGAAGAGCAGCCAGTGCTCTGAACTCCTGAGTCATCTCTCTAGCCCTCAAATTAGGAGGTATTTAAGAAAAAAATCAGTGACAGCCAGGGAATTATATAAAGGAGGGAAAGCTGAAAAGGTGGGAGAGAGGAGATTTTCAGGGTAGTGGAACTACTCTGCAGAATGCAGTGGTGGGTATGTGCCATTGTACATTTGTCAAGACCCATAGAGTGTACAACTCTAACAAACACAATGGACTTCAGTTGCCAATAATGTACTGATAGTAACTCAATTGCAGTAAGTGCACTCTACTAAAGTAAGACATTAGATATAGGGAAGGTTTGTGTGGGGCTATAAACCTACATAGGTATGTGGAGGCCAGTGTAAGAGAGCTCTATGACTTCTGCTCAATTTCCATAAATCCAAAATTGATTTATAAAATAAAATTTAATGACTTTTGAAGTGTACTTACCAGGTTAGCCTATAGGTATGCACATTCCTGATAGCTATACAATAGTTAATATTCTTTGGTTTTGTTTTGACAGGGTCTCCCTAGTCACAGCCCACCTAGAAGTCACAATGTGAACCAGGGTGGCCTCAGTCTCACAGAGATCCATCTGCCTCTGCTTCCTGAGGGTAGTTAATATTCTTATAAAGTCAATATAAGGTTATAAATAATTATGAAGCAAGGGCAGGGAAAAAGAAAGCTATTTTTCTTCTGTTCTTTTGTGGTTTTAGTTCTAGCAAGAATTTAGGAGGAAAATGATAGGCTTAAAATGCATAGGGGACTAAAAAGGATGTGGGTAGTGATGGTAATGATGGTGGTGGTAGGTGGGATAGAAGGAGATGTTCTGGTTTACACAGTAGAAAAACATCCTGGATGTTCATTCAGGAGCACTCTGCTGAGGTCACCAAAGACTCCCCTTGCCAAAGGGTGGGCAACTACTACGCTGGGACTGATCGTCCACCTACCTGTAGGTAAGGTAGACTGGTGTTTCCCAATTATGACAGAGCCCATTCCTTGAAGACATTTGGAAATGGTAGGGAAGGGTGGTGGGTTGTCAGAATGTCTGGAGGGTACTCTTGGCTAAATACCACGGAAGGTGTGAGAAGAACCACATGAAGATGAACTTCTGACTGTACCTGCTTCCACAATGACCCTGGAAACAGTTCTCTGTGTTTTATCAAACTCTTGTGTTAAGGGCACACCATGGGCAACAGGCTAAGAGTTTGTGTGACTGGATCTCCCATCTTGACTTGTAGACAGAAAACTCAAAAGGAAATTCTAAAATGTTAAACCAACCGAGGTCAGGCTGAAGGTCACTGGTATTTTCCTCAATTGTCAGGTTGGTGTAGAGCGGCGCTGATTCAGAGCCAGATCGATTGCAGGGTACAGAGTAGATGTCAAAGATGTCCTTCAGGTCCTTGCGGCTCCTTACACTGAGAGAGGAATGGAAAACACGTCCCGTTTAGAGCTGTCATCAAATAGTGGCCTGGGAAAGAGTAAGAAGAAAGGTTGTGTCCTACCTGAATGATTTGAATAGCTCAACAAATTCAACGAAACTCATGTTACTATCTGAGACCATGAAGCTCTGGAACCCCTTCATTCCGCCTTTGATTCGCCCATGCCAGCTGCTGCTGCTCCACGAACTGCAAAGAAACATGGCTGTCACTGGCAAGGCACAGTCCAAAGTGTTCTGTCTCAATGGACAGTTTCTGATGACATTATGAACAAAATAGGGTTCTACTTGAGACTGATGCGATATTCTGGGCTCTTTTTACTTTGTTTAATCTACATGATGCCAGTGGAAATAAACATCGTGTATTGAAACCACTTAGTGTTTTCTAGTCTATTTAATAAGGGCATAATGCTGAGGTTAATATTCACTAATCAAAACAGATCTCTGAAAACACAAAGTAAGGGGACATATTGTAAATCCAATGCTTCTGAAGAAAAGTCATGTTTGAAAAAGAGCCCCAAATTACTCAGTCATCATCTCTGGGAAATAGTGCATATTCTTTGCTGTATTCTAAATTATGGAAACACTTTTTCCTTTTTTCAAGAAGAAAGTTTTGAGTGCGTCAACGTCTTCCTTTTTCCCTTTTTAACCAGTTCTTCAATGCAAACAGGGAAGAACTTTTAATATTAATGGAAAATGTGAGTCAGAAAAATATTAAGAATGGAAAGCAGCCAACTCTGCCTAGGATTCTATCTGCACCTGCCAAGGCTGCATCCATTTAACATGAAAATATCATCTTGCTCACTCAAACATGTGGTCTCGATGTTTCACAACATTTTTAATTTTTATTTTCTATGTGGAATTACCCGAAGACTGAAAGAAATGTTTTCACCATGACTTTTAATCAAATCAATGAACAGGCTATTTCTTTCTTTTTTGGAGGAAGGCTTAGATTTTTTAAAATAGTGGGATATTTCAAGTATGAATCTGTAAGAGAGTACAAACACCACCACAAGCAGCCAGTCTACTTTTGATTCTGCTAACAATGTTCACTCATGGGAAGTTACTTAGTGTTGACATGTGAAGGTCACTTCCCTCAGTGGAAGAGCATCACAAACGTATGAACTTACAATTCTGTGCAGTCAGAGAGGCACAGGGTGCAGGTCCAGGAAGACAGTAGAAGGTGTCTCTATGTCTCTATCATCCATACACCATTTACACAAGTCCATTCTTGTCCTTCTTTCTAGTTATTCACTTAGTTCCTGTCTATGGCACTTCATGTCCCTTAGACTCTAGGAAACAGTATGTGCTCTCTCTCCCCTCAGGCTTAGGACTCAGTCTTGCTTTCTCCTTTAACAGTATTTAGGCTGGTGTTTCTTCTCCTGTCTTTTCTTTCTGTCCTAGGACAATGACCCCTGTCCTCCGGGGAATGGGCCTCACTTTAGATCTGGCATGTTAGTTTCTCTTCTAATAGATTTCCTTCTACAACTCTAGTCTGCCTTTCCTACTCATGAGTGACTGAAATAAAATGAAAATCCACTTAATCAAGGTCATTTGTCTAATTTATGTACTCAGAATCCTGCATAGACTGAAAATATAAGGTAAAGAATTCCAACTATTTGCAGCTTTGTTTTGTTATGAATCTAAATTCACAGTAGAGTTGAAAGAGTAAGAAGAATCCCGCCTTTGCCTCATTTTCACCAACTGTGGAATTGAATGCAGTTCTTGTGAGAGAATCCTTCCCTTTAAAAGGTAATTTATTATAGAGTTCTTATCAATAGCAAGTGAACAAGCAAATGAGAGACTTTGTGGGCGTGTCTGTGCATCTGTATGCATGTGTGTGTGGTGTATGTGGAAATGAATATTTCCAAAGCCAAGGTATGCTCGCACCCCATCCTCTGTGATAAGGTGAAAGGCACCTATCTTATCTTGGTTCTGTCTGGAACTTTCAAATTTCTTTAACTGTAGTTAAGGTGGGAGAGATGGAGTTGCATTCTGGTTCCTTTTGGTGGCTTGTCATTTTATTAATATTTCTTCTTCCAGGATGATAAATCTTTTAAAATCTGTAATTTATATGGACTTTATATGAGAATTTGTCATAATATCAGCTTTGGGATTATATCTAAAGAGACCCAACTTATTGAAATAGTTACAATTATTTCTCTAGACATGTATAGCTGCTATCATATATTGTGAGAAAAGCATTAAATGTGTTCCAGCTATTAGTAAAGTGTCAGGTAGCTTATGTTAAAAAGTAACTGGATTTTCACTTAGAATGCTGCTATGTCATAGCACTTTTTGCAGAACAGACATGTTCTGAGCCAACAGCATTTGTGGCTGTGAGCAGTTGAAATATGACCGAAGGACTGAATTTTCTTTAAAAAAATTTATTTATTTATTTATTTATTTATTTATTTATTTATTTAATGTATGTAAATTCACCAAGTGAGTGCAATGCCTGCAGAGGCCAGAAGAGGGTGTCGGATTCCATGGAACTGGAGTTCCGGATGGTTGTCAGCCACCATGTGGGTGCTAGGAATCGAACCCAGGTCCTCTGGAAGAACAACCAGTGCTCTTAACCACTGAGTCATCTCTCCAGCCCTACATAATGCTCTTTATAGCTTATAAACATAACTTTTCTTTGTATTGGAAAGCCAATTCACTTTATTGCAGAGGTCTAGACCTGAGCTGAGATGTGACTGCACAGGGACAGGCACATAGTCTTCATTCACAGATGTAAATTTTTCTTGCAAAAGGACATGTCTACCTTTATTTTCAGAGTTTTTCCTGTACTTATGATTACTCAATATAAGCAGCTCAAAATAATTCAAAGAGAACCAGGAAGTGGAGTTCTTGACTTCTCAGGAGCTTAAAATCCTGTCATAAATCTAGTCACCCCCAAATGTCCCTGGAGGTGTACAGAAAGCAGGAGGAATCAGACTGAACCTTTTTGCCACATTGCATCACTGTGTGGCGGGAGGTGAAGAAACCCTGTTGCAGGGGGTTCAAGGTAGGACGGTGAACAAATAGAATTAGAGATCAATTCCAGAATGTGTGGCAACTAGCAAGGGGGTGAGCCTGAACTTGTCAGGAGTCAGGAGAGTCACAAAAACACCGTTGCTGACTGTAGCATCTACCCAAGCAAGATGCACAGATGAGCAGATCTCTCTCTCTCTCTCTCTCTCTCTCTCTCTCTCTCTCTCTCTCACACACACACACACACACACACACACACACACACAC